CGTCCAATTACAAAGTAATCATTTTATTAAATATCCCACTTTTTTCTACAAATACTTTTACTTTACATCACATCATTACTTTTATACCAAAAGGCAAGCACAAAAATGTCATTACACTACTTTTACCTACCCATTATAATTAAAATACTATTATTTCTTAAACTCTGTGTCAAAAGTAAATGTATATTTTATCCGTGGACGGAAGGAGAATAAAATATAAATATATAAGATATTTTTAGCAAAATTGTGTCGTATCACGAATTTATGACATGTACAAAATATACTTTGTTGTGGTGTATATGAAGTGTAACTCCCTGCGATTGGAAAATTTTTTTTTATGTACGATCAATGTATAAAAATAATAAAATTGTGACAGATGTATAATAAAATAATTAATAATTTTTTTGGAATTTTTAATTTGAATAATAATTTAATATAATATTTTACAATAAAAATAATATACTTCTATACAAAATTATGATAATTGTATAACGATTAATGAAATTAAAAAAAAAAAAAAAAAAAAAAAAAAAAAAAAAAAAAACTTCCAATCAACACGTCCTTGAGCAAAGCACCTATTTAAAAGACACGTCGATACTGATCAAGTGATCATATGCACATCCACGAACTAGTACCCATTTTTTTATTTGTATTGGAATTTAAATATTTTTTTGTTTAAATTTTAATTTTAAAAAATATATATGTATTTTGTAAAAATAAATTTGGCTCCATTCATACGAAGATTTTAGATAAAATGATTTTATTTTATTTTATTTTATTTTATTTTGTTGTTGTAGTATTATGGGTAAATGTATAAAAAATATAAAATATAGTATTTTAACTTAAATATTTGATTTTTGATATTTTGTAATAGTATTTGAATTTTTTTTTTTTTGATTTTTTGTAATAAGTGTTTGAAATTTTAAATTTTTTTTGACTTTCTAACCATTTTTATAAAATATTTTATATTTTTTATTATTATTTTTGAGAAATCACAATTCAAAAATAATATTGAAATATCATAGCCAATAATTCCTCTGCCTCAATCCATCAATTGATACATATTTCCTCCTATCTTATTCCAAAGTATCTGTTTGAGATTTTGCAAAAAATTAAGAAATAATAATATTTTATTGATTAGTAAAAATATCTAGGAAATTACGTCATTTTTGTCCTGTAATGATATATTTATAAATTAAATTCTAATACTAAAGTATCATTTCTTTTATTTTTAAATGAGATAAAAAATAATAAAAATAATAATTTAAGATGGGACGGAAGAATATTTTTATGATATGAAATTTAATGAATAATTACAATGAGACCTTTAAGATGGGACGGAAGAATATTTTAATTACAATGAGTACGTTTCGTATAAGAGTTAATCTGGTAAGAATTTATGATATATGATTAGAAAATAATTAAAAATATATTAATAAAAATAATTATAAATTTAAATTGAGATTATATTTAGTCTAATTAAAATTAAAAAAAATTATAAATTATAAAATTTAAAATTTGGTTAAAATGCGTAATAATTTTTTTTTTTTAAAAGAAAACAAAAGAGACATGATAAAGGTGGAACCGATAGAATAACAATCATGTCATGATAATAGATAATTGATTATAGTTTTATAAAGATGTAAAAATTATATTTACTATTTATGGTAACAAGACATTTACTTTGTAACATATAAAAATAATAAAATAAGATAATAGATATAAGACCGAAAAAATATACTTTATTTGTCTTGTAAAAATATATTTATTTTACTATTTTAGTCTATTTATTAAAAAATATATTTATGTTATATTTAGTAGAAAGGTATAATTCTTTTTAAATTTATACTCACTGTTTATCCATAATGGATCCCACATATTTCTTATGCATAATCTACTTTAATCCCAAAATTATATTACTATTCTAATAAAAAAAAATTAAAAAAAAAGTATATAAATAATATTAAAATACTTTCTCTCCATCCGCCTATGAGGGTCTTTTTAACTTTTCGCTTCATCGTATTAATATTAAAAATATTTTTATATTTGTATAATTTTTTGCGTAAATATCATTATAATAATTTATAAAATATTATTACAAATATTTTTGTAATTTTTTTTTTATTTGTACTCCGTTTTCATATAATAATTAATATTTAAATATCAACACGCATAAAAAAAAAATAAATAAGACCCTTAAAACCGGACAGAAGTAGTATTATTTTTAAAAACTCCGTCCACAAAAATTTTAAGCATAATATGATGAAACAAAAAGGACATTTTTTTATAAAAAAATATAAAGAAGTTTTGAATTAAAAATCAAACAAACTCCATATATATTGACAACGCATACAATAGAAATATACTCCCTGCGTTCCCAATAAAATATCTATATTACTATAGATACCAGAAACTAAGAAAAATATAATTAATTAATATATTAAAATTGAGATATTGTAAATTAAAAAATTTAAAATATAATTAAATTATATAATTATTTTTTAAAAACAATAACAAATTATATAAAATAGACAAAAAAAATAAAAAAATAAAAAATAAGAAGGTATTTTATTTAGGACGGAAGGGAGAATAAGTAGATCTAATTAAAATAAATGCTCATGTTATGATGTCGATGTAGAATCACATGCTACTATTTGCATGCTGTTATTGCGTAAAAAATGTGTCATTTTGCATGATACTATTGCTGCAAATATGGCTAAATACTGCTATGTAGCTAGCAAGGGCATAATTATTTTATTTTTTTATATAATATTTATATAACTTCTAAAATTCAAATTATTAAAACAAAAATAAAATTATAATAAAAATTATTATAATTTTGCACGGTTAATACCTATTTTCTATTAAAAAATTTAAATTCAAAATCAAAACAATACAATATTATTTTATGATTTTAAGTGAATTTTGTTTTTAAAAAAATTTGTAAATAAAAGTTTTTTTTTTTTTTTCTAAAATGGTCCTTCAGTGCCAGGCGAGCGCGTCGTTGACGCGGCTGACATGTCATCGTCACATCAGTGATACTTTGAAGGACTAGTTTTTAGTTGGGAGACTATTTTCACACAAAGTGACCCGATTTGAAATCGAACCGTACTCGATTTTTTATTTTTTTTTTTGTCAATTTGTAAAATATTTTGTTTATTTTTAATTTTGAATTAATTAGAAGTGGGAATTGAACCAACAACTATATATATAAACTAAAACCTTTACCTTGCAGCCATGTTTTAATTTTTGTTTTATTTTTAAAATTACTATATATATATAGAAATTTATTAAAATTTAAATATTAATTTTAAAAATCGGGCTGGACTGGATCAGACACGGCTCGACTTTCATGAGTCCAGACATGGCTGGATTCATTAGCATGCCGGGTCAGGTACGACCCCGATAATTTTCGAGCCTATTTTTTGAGGCTCAAGCACGATTTTCTCGTGCCGTGTGTTCAGAGTGGACTTTCGGGGCGTGTTTATTTTTTTATGAGATTAATAGAACAGTTTATAAAGAGATTTGATGAAATTAAAAAAATAAAAAATAAAAATAATTTCCCATGTGTCCTGACGTGACAGCTATTTGGTGATGATATAGGCAAAATAGCATAAAACCTCCATTGGTTTTCAAATTTGTTGAAAATCCCCATGGTTCTAAAATTCCATAAAATCTACTTATGGTTTCTAAAATGTTGCAAAAAAATCCCCCATCAGTTAGGATTGAACGGCGATTGCATCTCACGCGCTCATATTGCAATTTTTTATACGAAAATTGATATATTACTGTGTAAAATTACAAAAATACTCTTAGATATTAATACACCTATATTCATCTCCTTCACCTTTTTCATCTCCTAAACAACAGAGGACAGATGATTGATGCCGGGATAGGCTGTGGAAGACCGAGGTGAATACAGACAGCGGCGACTGGACGGCGATGAGCTGTGGTCGGCGGTGGCTGTCAAATTGGAACAAATTCTTTCTCTTTTGATAAAAATAAAAAAAAATTTAAACAAGATCCCAAACAAAAAATACCAAACTAAAAAATTAAAAAAATCAATATACTCATCAAAGTGAGTTTGCAATTGTATTTTTGTGTTGAGAAGAATCAAGAACGGGATATTTTTCTTCACCATCAATGGCATAAACTAAAATTAAAGTTTGAATTAAACAAAGAATAAAAAAACTGTGGCGGCAGTGGCCTGGGAGCGTGGGTGGCTAGCTGTTGTCGAAGGCGGAGCTATTTCGCTGTGGCGTCTGGTCGTGTGCGGCAGCCTGGCTGATCAAGGTGATTACAGATCGGGTTTTTGGAAAATGGGAGAAATTAATTTTGGAATTTAGAGTTTTTTTTTTTTTTAAAAAAAAAAAGAAGAAGATGTCGAAGGAGGGGAAATAGAGAAGAAAAGTAGTTGGGCAAGGAGAAGAGAGTGCAGGGAAGAAAACTATTGAAATTGTGATAATCTGTGATGACTGTTGAAAAGTTGAAAAAGGTGGTTGTGGCAGCTAAAATCATGATGGTGCAGCAGTTTGCATTAGCGGCGTTTGGGCGCATAGTCGAAGAGGCTGGACGGTGGTTGAGCACCGGCGGTGGTGGAGGAAGAAAACAATGGTGGACGGTATGGGTTGGGAGGAGAAGAAAAGATAAGGCCTTGAAGGAGGAGGGGAAGGAGAGAGAAAAGTAATAGAGTAGAGAGAAAAAGAGAATTAAGACAGAGGTATAACAGTCACTCTGTAAAAATTTAACACCGTTAATGCAATTTAGAAAGAATGAGCAACGTTTTAGAAACCGGTTTTATGGAACTTTTGGACCACAGGGAGTCAGCAATTTCGGAAAACCATTTGAGAGTTTTATGCTATTTTTCCGATGATATATTAGTCCGTCAGCAACTGCAGACTACGAGTCCCGCGCGATGGATGACCATTTTAGAAAAAAAAAAAAAAAAAAAAAAAAGAGTTTTTATTTGCAACAACAATTAGTCTATCCGGTTCGCAGCACTTTGTTGAGATATTCTCCGAGCGCCCAAATGGGGAAGATATTTCTGTACGCCGAGTAGCTGATCGTGCAGTTCTTATTGAACACGCCGACGATTTCCTGCAAAGATGAACCAAATTCACTCAAATCGAGATATATTTTGGTGAGTTTAATTCTTCAATTTCAAATCTGGATGTGAATTTCATCGATCTCAAGCGTGTTGCTATTATTGATTATTCGATTCATTCTTATGTTGATACTTTCCTCGATTGGATTGGGGATTTTCCCTCACCTGTTGTGGAAAATCTCCGTTCTCCATTTGAGCATCGATCAGCACTTTAGCAGCTCGATGCAACGGATTTGCGTCCCTCTGTGCCTGCTCCATCGCAAATATTAGAAAATTATTCAATCTGCTGCTCATGTTCTATTATGTCTTTCTATTTGTTTTTGGTTTTGGAGAATAGAAAAAGCTTGAATCCAAAGTTTTGAAATCAATCAAATAAGAGAAAATTACAATAAATATGTTATGTCCATTATCATTATTATTCTTTATTTGTTATCTCACAAAATATATTCTATAAGTGTCACATTTTCGCGATATTCATCCTCCATATCGCAAGTCTCATTAGCATTGACACCGTTAAGAATTTGACACCCAGCTAGAGTACAAAATCACGAAAAAGTGACACATGTAAAATATATTTCATGACAAAATATATCTGCCGTGAGCTTGACGTGTGGCCAGATGATAAAAGTCACAAAAAGTGACATATGTGGAATATATTTTACAGCAGTTATAATTAAAGGATAAGAGTGATAATTGACCATAAGTACGAGATATTTGTTTTTATTTTTATTTTCGTGTTGAACCAAATGATTTGGAAAACACATATGAACACACTTACTTGCCCTGCTTCGATGAGCGCCAACAACGCCCATCCTGTGTGCACGACATGCGCTTTGTCGTTCGGCAAGTTTGTGTACACCTATTGTCGTGAATCGAATCATTTTTTGGAGTTGATCAGTAGTATATTCAAGTGTCGAAAATAAATTTTTACCTTATCTTGACTCGATAGATAGCTCTCGCCCCATCCCCCGCCGGGGAGTTGCTTGGATAAAAGAAACTCGCAAGCTTTTCGCACGTGGAAGCTGTTTTCGTACGTCTTCCCGCCTGCGATCAGCCCTTTTATCCCGAACCATGTCCCGTAGGTGTAGCACACGCCCCACGATCCGTACCTAACCATTGTTTTCCGATGAACAGCATAGTATCATAAGATTGAATTGTAATGAGTTTGGTATGTTTGTGCAGGATTTGTTGTATTACCATGAACCATCGAAGAGTTGAATGCTTTCGACAAATTTGAGAGCGTTCTTGATGCACACTGAAATATCCTTCGCTCGATATCCGGGATGCATCTTGTTGAATAGCCTCAAGCCTTGAATGGCTGCGGATGTGCACTCAACATATTGGTAGTCGATCATTATGTCCCCGAAGATCTCCGCAGGATTGATCATCTGTCGATGGATTTATTCAATCATAGAGATTTTTATTTTTATTTTCCCGGTAATACTAATACATGGCTTCGTTTTTGTTTCGTGTGGTTTACCTCCAACCAGGCGTAGGATCTTGTGAGCTCGTACGATGCAAATCCTCCGCTGCTATTCTGCGACAGATAAAAATGACGATGTCCCGTTGAGGCTTTCGTGGAAATTAATGTAACATTCGATTGCTACCTGAAACGAAAGAAGCAAGTCGACTGCGTCGTGTAGCTTATCTAGTGCTATTGCTTCTCCGGAAATCTCCGACGGCAACTGCGACAGAAGAAGCGCTGTCTGCACATTTTCGATTAGAAGCGCGATAAGTAAATTATACGGTTTGATTTGTGTGCTATTGCAAAAGGATCGAACCTTGAGGCCTTCTGATGTGCAATCGGAGACCGGCCAGCCGTTGTCTGTAGTCGAAAAGGGCCATCCGCCTTTCGATCGTTGGCGATACCAAGAGCTTGGATTCCCGGAACTATCTTCTCTAATCTTTATAGTCGAAACATGCTATGTTAGTCGTATGAACCAGGGGTGTGCATCGAAAACGAAACTGGTAATTCGGGTATTTGAATTCTATTTTTTTCGGAAAGTTTTTAAAAATATTTTCGACCAAATTCAATTTCAATTTCTCAATTCGAAATTAATTTGAATTTGGTATTTATGAAATTGATCAAACTGAATATGAACATAAAAAAAATTGAATTATGATGATTTAAATTTCTTAATTTATTTAAAATAGTATACTAATATAATTAAATATTATAAAATTATAAATTTTGTATTGGTGTTATATAAATTAATTTTTTGAAAAATAAAATATATGTATACATAATATTAAATAAAATAATTATTTGAATTCGAAATCGGTATATCCGAGTTAAAAAACTGTTCAAACCAAATTCGAATTAATTTAAAAAATAATGAATTCGATATATCCGAATATTCTTCGAATTACCAAATTATCGAATTCAAATTTTTAAATTTAATTCGAATTCGGTTGATAGATCCAAATCGGTAATTTTGCACACCCCTAGTGAGAACCGAGTTTGAGTAACACCGATAGTTTATTGCATAGACTCACTTGGGATATTTTGATGAAGTTGTGAGCCCGTTCGATCGTTGGACCGTATTCGTTCTGTAGTTTAGTCGCGAGCATCGCCTGGACAGTGAAAACGACGTCCCACATCTGACTCCCGTTATATCCTTGCATCTTCATGCCGTCTTCGGCCAGCCATAGATAGTCCTTTATTCTCGAGAGGTGTCGCATCACTGATGTGGAGTTTGGGTCGTCGACCCAGCGACAAAGCATGTTGAGTACCTTGTAAAAGAAACCGTGTTAGCCACCGAGGTTGTTACAAAGGAAAGAAAAACTCGATGAAGTATTATTACCTTGTTTACGGGTCCAATGCAAAGGTAGTTCGTGTTGGCATCCTCGTACCGGATATGGTCCATTGCCGTTCCTAGAGCTCGATCTCTTAGCTTCGAGAATGGCCATCGTTTGAAAAGAGGTTCGGCGAATTCGTGTAGACATTTCCATAGGATGTCTTGTAAGTGCGAATGCGGGAAGTATAAGTCCTCCTATATGTCGAGTAGACTAAATTTTCTCGTCATTTGAAGTAGAGCTTGCAAACACTAACACGACACGACAACCTCACACGAATCCGACACGAAATAATTGGGTTTGGGTCAAGAATTTCAATCCAATTATATATACGGATTGATATGAACCCTACACGATAATACACTAGTAGGGTTAAGGTTGAAACTGTCAACTTGAATCTGATACAACAAGTCAATTGTAATATATTAATATATTTATTATATATGTAAAATAATTATAATTTAATATAATTAGTCCGTATATTAACTTAAACTAAGTTCAACTTTAAATAACTCAACCTAATTCATTGTACACATTATACTATAACAAAAAAAAATAACATAACACAAGACAATATGACAAAAAATAATTTAATTTGAATCAAGGATTTTGTTTTAATTATATATACGGGTCAACACGAACCCGATATGATAATAAACGAGTCGAGTTCGGTTTGAGTTATTTAATTAATTTAAAACATTCAATCCGACACGAATCGACCTGTTGTCAGCTCTTATTTGAAGCAAGATGAATCTTTTATATAGGTATCTTTACATGGCATACCTTGGAGCATCGAGTTCTTGCCGAGTCCCAATCGATTTGATGGTAAGGCTGAGTATAGAGCTCTTTTCGGAGGGAGAGTACAGTGGCATTGATTGGGCCTACAAATCTCTTACCGTATAAATACGACATCGGGAGGTACACGAGCCGGCTATGGCACCACATCCGACCTACATTCGTGTATCGTCACGCAAAACAAATATGGTAGAATCATATAAATTTATTACAAATTTCGCTGATAATCAGAAACAGAGTCGTACCCGGATGAATAGGAAGCGAATAAGGGAGGAGCCACAACTCCGGCGGCAAAGGATTATTCCCGTCCCATTCATACACACCGAGTACCTATACTTATAAGAAAACAACATCCTTTCAAACAAAAGAGTCGATAAATAAAGATAGCATAAGGCATGAGCAACAACAAACTATACACACTACTAAAAATAAATTATATATTACAAAATTAATTTCGTTGCTAATTTTTTTTTTTTGCTAGAAAATTATATATCTATAGCAAAAGGATTTTAGCTACAAAATTATTTTTCATAGCTAAAATAATTTGGCTACAAAAATCATATATATTTGTTGCTAAAACTCTTTTGTTATGAAGTTTAATTTTATAGCTAGAATAGTTTAGCAATGATTTTCGTATCTATATCTCCTTTCTTGACTTTTATTGCAAAAAAAATTATTTTTCATTACGAAAGTCATATTTTTCGCCAAAGACTATTACTAATGTAGTAAAGGCGACGAAATGACTTTTATCGCAAAAAAAAATTTGCTATGAATTTTTACCTTTTGCTACGAAAATTTTTATTTTTAACTAAATTTCAACTTTTTTGTAGTGACGTACCGAGAGCCAACATTTTCCCCAGGAGGGAATGTAGGTAGCACCACCGTGATTGAGAATCCATGCTCTTGCTCGTTTCACTGCCCCATCTTCCGGTCGATCGCCTAAAAGCCTTAGGGCGACGTAATTGAGCACGGTGCCGAACATAGTGCTATGTCCCTCGATGTGCAAGCCCCATCCACCGTCTTCTTCGTTCTATAGACTCTTCCGTTGAAAATCGATGGATCGATAGACATAGAAGTAGTTATGCCAACATCGAAGTATGGTTTATTACCTGATGGTTGTAGAGGTACCGGCGTATCTCTCCGCGATGCTCCTCTGGTAGAACTAAGCTTAGAGCATCCATTATAAATAGCGCTATTATCTGCAGCACATGGATACTTATAACTCTGTTTATTTATATAGTTTTGGAATTTTTTGTATTATTTATTAATAATGATGTTTAAAAAAATATAACATCAAATACATCTTTTTTCTTTTACTATTTTTCTAAAAAAAAAAAAAAAAAAAAAAAAAACCCAATTTTTATATCTTCTCAGCCAATATGTGTTAGAACTATTAAATGCAATTTTAACAATTAATATATTTATTTTTTTAAAAAAATTCTAATTATAATTTCTGGACATTATATTATAAAAAGCTTGTTTATCACAGTAGAAAATTTTTGTAGCCTATGAAACATTTATCGTATAAATTAAATTCAACATTTTATTCCTATTAAATCAATGTTTGATATATATATATATATATATTTGTAAGTATTAAATTGATCGGAGTTTTACTTCAGAGTGCAGAGTTTAAAAAACATATTAATATTTTATACATATTTAGAAATAGGTTTGACCGGGGCTTTGCGAATGAGTATAATTTAGAAAGTTAGATTCTCAAACACGTGCAGATCATATACGGTTAAATAAGGACAGCTGATGGATTAAATGGAAAATTTATGAAAGCATGAGATAGTTGAATACAATTTTTAAAATATGAAAAATTTGGCACAATTTTGTAAAAACACATGTTAATTTTGTTCTATTTTGCATAAAAATATTCCCTTGCCAATAAATACATATCAAAATTAAATACTCACTCAGAAACTATATCAATTTTTTTTTAATGTAAATTTTAAAATATTAATATTTTATACGGATTTAATATAATAAAAATAAATATATAAGTAAGATATATAATAAAAATAAATATTTTATAATTTTATTTTTTGGATATATTTCTACTTTATTTAAATTATATTTAGTATTTTTTTAATAATAAGTAAGATATAAAAAATAATAATAATATTTGTAAGAACGACTATTACTAAAATTAAAACGATCTGGTTACTATATTGAATGAAAAAAAAAAAAAAAAAAACAAAACATTATAATGTTGATATTTTTATTCTGCATATTTGAATTATAAAAACAGAACAAGCTTGTCTATTATGATTTTCCAGTGAAGCATAAAAATAGCACAAGCTTATATTTAACACGTGTTAAATAAAAATACCTAGACATGTCAGTATGACTGACATTATATATATATATATATGTTGAATTCAAGTATTGATTGTGTTGTCTATAATTATAACATATATTAATTGTTTATGTGTTGTATTATTTATATTAATATATAACGAACATTATATGTCATAATTAAAAACAATACAATCTATAGTTGAACTCAGCTCAAATAGTGCATCCATATAGCACAACTATATATTTGATTTAATATAGTGTTTAGTCGTGATGTTTTGATTTTGGGTTTTGATTTTGAATAGTAAAATTTTTAATTGAAATAGTTGTTTGATGTGATGTTTTGAATGTAAAATTAAATTTTAGTGTAATAAAATAAATAAGAATTGAGTGTTTGATTTGATGTTTTTGGAGAAAAAAGAAAGTTGGAATAGTAAAATCAAACTTAAAATCTTACAAATAAACAGACCCCATTTTTTGTACTTATACTGCTGCGGTCGTCCAATTTTGTTCTTCATTCCCTTTGTAACAAATGGAGTATTATTTCTACAAAGAGAATGAGAAATATAATTGGATGACGGAGAGACTATTATTTGTTGTCTATCTACTATGTTCCATCGGTTCTCTCATTCAATATAATTATCACCGCCAAAAGAAGATTAATAGATTGATTTCAAATTAAATATATATATATATACATATATTAATACACTCCTTCCATCATGTAAGTTTATGTCTATTTGATCGAGCACAAATTTTTAAAAAAATAGGTAAATATAATTTATTTTTTTTAAGAAAGGTAGAAAAAAAATGTATTTTTTTTACTAAAATAAAATAAAATAAATTTATATGACAAAATAAAATAAAAATAAATTTGAATAACAGAAAGAAAGAGCATTAAAATGTATTTATGTTATATGTTACCAAGCCTGGAAGGAGAAAAAGAGGGCCGCCATAGTCCGCAGGCCAATGTCCATCCTCAGCCTGGAGATTTGAGTAGAATTTCATCCCATTTCTCAACACATCCACCACTCTTTCCGTATTGTCATCACCGCTGCCGCTGCCGCCGTCGTTGCCGCTGCTACTACCATAACTCCGACCACTATGCTTGAAAACCTCGTCTTCTTCAGCAAACTGCAAGACACATATGTTATATACGACAGCAGTTATAGGATAAACACCGGTAAACGAAATTTGCACGTGAACAACGACAAATGAGAAAACGGTGGAACTCGAACTCTACCATGTTAGATGATGTAAATGATCGACTCACCTAAAAGGTTAATCTGTTAGAAATACATATTATTTATTTATTTATCTACAAACAGAAGTCACAAATATTTTTTAATTTTATAAATATTGTATCACGTATGGACAGACTAAAAATAAAATACAGCATAATATTGGAATATAGAGATTTGAAAGTTAAATTTACCTACTTTTTTTTAGTAATTATATTTTTCACATGATTTTAAAAGAGAAAAGAAGACCCACGATCAAATGTTCAGCCCAACAATTATTGTTCTTTTTCTTATTTTTATACTGTAAAACTTACTCTTCTATTTCTATTATATTTATTTTTTTCTTTACACAATATAAAAGATAAATTTGTCAATTTTTATAAAAAGAAATTAATTGTTTAAAATACATGTAAATATCAATTAGGAGAATAGAAAATAGCTGGGAGAGTATTATTATAAAGATATTAATAGTAAATTTTGACTGTTCTCTTCGATGTTTTCTTGAAAAAAATAATAATAATAATAATAATTAAAAAAAAAAGAAAAAAAACGCAACCTAAATGATTTGAAATAGGGGTAGTATATACATAAGACAATACATGTGACCTGTATCCTCATGAGAAGATCGGAACTCTGACGGATGCTACGGCGGCCGGCCTGGAAGTTCCGACGGGCCTGCGCGACGGCGGCGCTGTGGTGGGGAGTGGGCGGCGTTGGGTCGAATTCCCAGAACTGCCTTCCGGCGTGGCGGTTGGCGGTGGTCAGCCACCGACGGTGGCCGTCGTCGTCGTCGGAGAACTTCAATTTCCACATGGCGGCTGTGGGGGCCCTGAAGAAGAAGGTCAAGCAAAGCCGTCGGTCTTCCACTCTTAAATGAATGTATATATAGGAAAATAATTGGAAATTACTTATATAATGCTAAGTTTATGGGTGTTTGTTTGGGTGTTTGGATTTTGAATTGAAATTTGAATAGTAAAAAATTTGAATTTGAATAGTTGTATGATGTGATATAAATAGGTGTTGATGTGATGTTTTGAATATAAAATTAATTTTTAGTATAATATAAAAAATAAAAAATAAGTGTTTGATTTGAGGTTTTTGGGGGAAAAAATGGGATGAACAGTGGATTGGATATCCAATCTCCCAAACAAACACACCAATATGTGTTTTTTATACTATTAATTACTCCCTCCGTGTCTCAGATACCATGTCTACTTTGTCGTTTCTGTCTGTTCCACGTACCATGTCACTTTCCTTTTTTTGGAAAATGATTACACACTTTAATCTTATTTTAAATTTTTTAATTTTATTTTTTTTAATTTTAATTAAACTAATTAGTTATCTTAATCTTAATTTATAATTATTTATATTATTGGATAATTATTTTCACTGATACATTCTTAATTATCTACTAATTACACCCCTCCTAAAATACTCTAGAGTGTAGAAGACACGGTATCTGGGACGGAAGGAGTAATATTTATTTAAAATATTATATATTTATTTATTTAAAATATAATATATTTTATACTATTAATTAATATTTTGTTTGGGGAATTGGAATTTCAATCCATTATTCATCCCATTTTTTTTACCCAAAAACATCAAATCAAACAGTTATTTTTCATTTTTTATATTATACTAAAATTTAATTTTACATTCAAAACATCACATCAATACCTATTTATATCACATCATACAACTATTCAAATTCAAAATTTTTTATTATTCGAATCCCAATTCAAAATTCAAATCCCCAAACAAACACATCCAATGTATATATTATATATTGTGTTAACGTATGTATTTTTTGGATAGATGTATTATTTATGTATTATTTTTAAGTGCAAAAAATTGTGTTAATAATATTAAAAATAATATTTTATGCTGAAAAAATTGACTTTTGTGAATGAATAACATATATATATTGTATATTAAAATACTCCCTTCTACCTAGAAATTATATATATTTTTATTTTGAGACATTCAATTAAGTAAATATTTTATTAAATATCCTACTTTTTTTTCACAAATACCCTTATTTTACATCACATCATTACTTTTAAACAAAAAAAAAAGGGCAAAAATATCATCACACTAATTTTAACCACTCACTATAATTAAAATACTATTATCTTTTTAAAAATGCGTCAAAAGTAAATGTATATATTATAAATGGACGGAGAGAGTAATATTTATAACAAACCAATTATTTTTATATTATATATACAATTTCTTATGTCAAAGAATATTTCTTCAAATTATATCAAGAAACAAACACACACTATATATTTTTAAAACATTAAGATATTAAATAATTAAAAAAAAAACTAAAATTAAAATCTTAAAAAATAGTGATCTTCAACAACCAATTTATAAATAACTAGCGTGGAGCCGTACTATGCACGGGTAGATATAAATTTTATTGAAAGATGAAAATTAATTGTTGTTATTAAATGAATAATATTTTAATATAAAAATCATTTAAATAAATTAAAATATTTAACACGATTAATTTTTGACATTTTAAGTATGCGAGATTGATGAATTCTATCTATTAAATGTAAATATTGCAAAAATAATATTTACATGTAATATTAGTTGTGTTTATTTATATTTTTATAAGCAATTTTTAAAATTATAATTCATTTGAAAATTGTATCGGTAGAAAATTTAAGATAGCTAACAAAGTTAAAGTTAAAATTCTATTAACTTGTCACTGTCATTTTAATATAATTAAATTATAATTTTTTTTTAATTCAGAATATTATACCGTATTTTTATCTGTTAACTTATGCATAACTCATTTATAATACAAAATTATCCATCCATAATTTTATTATCATTATTTTTTAGTTTTCATATCCAGATAATATAACATATCACCGAATGAAGCAAAAAATAATGTATAATCTACTTATTTATCCTATATTAAACAATATATTTATATCGGGTATTTTATATGTTACTGCCGAAAATTTAATTCATTTATCTTCTTAATATATTTATCTTTCTAATATTACATATATCTTAAAAAAAAAATAACACATAAAGAAGGTCACATTGTTATACATAGTTGTTATTAGATTAAAGTTGTTTTATTATTAAAATAATAAAATAAATAATATTATATTATTATTATTATTATTATTTTACAATCCATTTTTTTTATTTTATTATTTACGTAGTGGGTCCCACAAAAAAATTTAAAAAAATAGAAAAATATGTGTTGCAGGGTGGCAACACTGGTGACAAAATACTTTCAACGCTAAATATATATATATATTAGATTTTAATAAATATTAGGATATATTGTAGTTTGTGTTTAATTTAAAATTTTTATATAAATGATTATTTGGATATAATATTTATTAAAAAAAATATTAAAAAATAATATATTTTTAAAATTTAAAAATAAAAATAAAAATTGTATAGTAAAATAATTTTTAAAAAAATAATAATAAAAGAATAAAACTTGGCATGTCCTATTCAATAGACAAATAATAATGCAATATATTTTATTAAATAATTCTACATGTCGTATTCAACAATGATATATTAACAAAAATGATTTTACAATATTAATCAAAGTTTTTGTCATATTTGTTTGTTTATTATTTCACGATCTTCAATTGATAATAAACAATGTTATCATACTTTCCATGCCTACAACTAACAAAAAAAATAAATAGATGAATAATAATAATAATAATAATAATAATAATATCATTGAGAATCAATTCCAACATTACATTTGATGTGTTTATTAAATTATATTTATAAACAGTGATAGATTTAGTATAAAAATAATAAAATAAAGAGAATATTATTAAAATTTTAATTTTAAAAAAATAGTAGAATAAATAAAAAAAAAAATAATAGCAATTTAACTATTATTTGTTAAAATAAAAATAATTTACTTACTACCAATAATGCATAAGATCAACAAACATCTAAAAAATGAAAAAGTAACATAATTATCTTAGATGGATAAAGTATATTTATATCTGCTTTGGGCGTTCGGATTTGTTTTTGTATATCCTCCAAAATGCCTCGAGATTTATAAAGTGTATAATATTCTTTTCAATTTTCAATGTGAGACTTGAATTTGCACCCCCAATATATATAATATATTAATTTTTAAAAATATATATATATATATAATATAAACTTTTTTCAAAAAAGAACACACCCGATTTTTTATTCCAACATTTCAGTATTTTTAATCATTGTGTACAAAATCAAATTCGGATATATTTTTGGGACATGTATGAAAATAGTATAAAAAAAAATAATTAAATAAAAACAATTTTATCATGTAATTTTTTAAATAAATATTAAATATTCCCCCATCTCATATCTATACATTCATTTGCTTTTTTATTAAGTTTTAAAAATATTAGTATTATATTGAGACAAAGTAGAAATAAAGGTAAACAAAAAGACTAAATTAACCCTGTTAGTATCGTATGATATAAAGGTAATAATATTTGTATAATATATTGTAAATTAGAAAGGTATTTGTAATGTTAGGTAGATAGTACAATTACTAAAAGTGAAAATAGATAATTTATTATGACACTGACAAAAATGAAAAAATAAATAAATTGTTAAGGGACGGATGAAATATTAAATATTTTATTATATTTATATATATATATATATATATAAAGTCGGTCTCTCGTTATATTAAATCAAGTTTGATCAAATCTAAACTACGTCCAAACAGAGTTTTTTTAAAAATAAAAATAAATAAATAATTGAATACTACCAAATATATATATATATGTCTATATATAATGAATTATGGAGGGGGACCAAAATAATTATTTTCCTCGTGAATTGGACTCGTCGCCTAATAATCTAAAATATTAATATATTAAAAATGCTAAAACCAAATTAATAAATATTAATCCCTCCTCCGTCCCACATAATTTGTCCATATTTTCTATTTTCGTCCGTCCCACATAATTTGTCATTTCACTTTTTGGAAAATTAGATTATACACTTTAATCATATTTTAAAATTTAAAATTTAAATTTTAAATTTTTTTTAATCTTAATTAAACTATTTAGTTATCTTAAATACTAATTATTTTTACTAATATATTTTTTAATTACTTACTAATTATATTTTACCTAAATTTTTGTATTTACAATAATAGACCCATATTACATGGAACGGAGGGAGTAATATGTTATTTTGTTTGGAATTAATTTTTCTATGGCCAGACTCACAATTTTTTGAAGCCCAAAATACAATCTAAAATATTTGTACATCTGTCCGGCTATAAGGTTTCATTTACTTTTTTTACGTTCATATTTGAATATTAATTATTGTATTAAAACGTAGTATAAATAAAAAAAATTGAAAAAAAATATTTTATTAGTACTAATAGAAAGATATTTATATAAAATATTATACAAATATAAACATATTTTTAATGTAAATTACAATGACACACGAGATAAATGTAACATTTAGAGACGGACGGAGGGAGTAATATATTAAAAAAGCTAAAAGAAACCTCTTATACAAGTGGTGAGATGTTTTTTTAGTTTGGTTTAGGTCTTAAATTCGATCCCGAATGAGTATATATAATCATAATTTTTTTTACAAGGAATAAAATAATATCAAAATTCAAAATTATTGTTGTGAAAATAGAAGAGAAAATATTATGTCTGCTCCAATTCAAATGTCTCATTTTATCAGTGATGCAATATTTAAAATAATAAAATTTAATTAGTTAATAATATTAAATTAAAAAATATCATTTTATTTATGTAAATAGTATTGTTGTAGTTTTAGAAAAAATAATATATATGATTAAAATAAATTTAGAATATGCATTTAAATATTTTAAATACTATTTTAATTTTAATAAAATATATACAATATAAATATTATTTTATAAAAAATGAAATCTTAAATTCACAAATAAATGAAAAAATATATTGTATTTATTTATAATTAAAATAAATAAATTTTATAAAAACAAAATTAAGAATATAAATAAAAATATATGTTTTATTGACTAGAGATAGAAATAATTTTTTTAAAAATAAATCTTATACTTTATATAATATTATATGTTATAAAATTAATTATATTTATTAAATATATTTAAATTTATTAAATTTTATCAAAAATAGAACTATGTCATTTGTAATATGACAGGAAAAAAAGAACCATTTAAAATTAAAATAAAACGAACGAAGTACATAATAATGATAAAGAGCTGCCGCAACAATGGCATCTGACGTGGAGGTTCTTTGTCTTCCTTCCACATAGGCGCCATGTCAACATAACCTTAAAAAAAAAATTCAAAAATCTCTTGTGCAGATGAGAATGCCCAAGAGATTTCTCTTTCTTTTACTTTTATATATCAAGTATAATTGTATTTATTATTTTTTTAAATATGTATTATATAAAATTTTATTTTTTATATATTTTTAAAAATTTTAATTTTAAAAATAAAATAATTTTGATATAAATATAAATATTTCTTATGTTTCATGAAAATAATATATGAGTTTTTTTTATATTGATTTTTTAATATTAATTATTATATTAATATATAGTATAAATAAAAATAATAATATAAATACAATGAGACTTATGAAATAAATTATATAAATATAAAAATATTTTTAATATTTTACGCGAATACGGCTACTTTAGTGTACCTTGTTGGTCAAATCTTACGAGTCAAAGCTCCTTAGAATTGCTTACCCACCGTACTCCAAAAATAACCGGATAATAATAATAATAATAATAATATGAAATTATTATTAAAATCAAAAGGGGAGCAAAGGAACACAAGCGAGCCATGTCCCACAGGCATTGATTTCACATTACAACCTTTTAAAAAACACTACCCTCAAAAAGTATCCACTCTTTTTGGAGGTTCACTCTTGCTCCTACCATTCACTTCTTTCCCCTTCCCCGGCGCAGCGGCGCCGCCACTTCCGCCACCGCCGGAATCTCGTTCACTTTTGCTTTTGGGCCGATCCCTTCCCTTGGGAGTGGTCGGGAAGCTTTTTGTTCCGGCGACATTCGCATCTCCTCCTCGGCTCGATTCTTGCGCCACGAGGGGTTCGAGTATCTCGATCACTTGGCTCATGACGGGCCGACCTTTCGGGTTCTGGCTGAGGCATTGGTACGCCAGGTTGGCGACGTTGACGAGGATTTTCGTCGAGTATTGACCCTCGATTCTCGGGTCGAGTATCCGGAGGAGCTTCTTGTTGTGGTTGAGGAGTGGCCGAGCCCACTCGACCAAATTGTGTTCTTGGCTCGGCCGGCTCTTGTCCATTGCTTGCCTCCCGATTAGCATTTCTAGCAGCACAACTCCGAAGCCGTACACGTCACTTCTCGCCGTCAAATGCCCTGGATCAGAAGATTAGGGATGATTCGATACGGTATACTGAAAATACCGGACATTACGGTATGATTTTAATATAGCAATACCGTGCCGTACAAATTCGGTGTATCGAATTGCTCGTACGGTATCGGTATATACTGCTTCATTCCGAAAGGTTAAATTGTACAAAAATTCACCTATAATTTTACAAAATTGCGCAAAACCCTCTGTACTTTCAAAACTGCATCTAACTTTCTTGACGAAGAAGTTAGATACCGAATTTATGAAACTTCAAGGAAATTTGATACAATTTTCAAGGAAAAAAAAATAAAAGGTTAAATTAAACAAAATTCACCCGTAATTTTACAAAATTGCGCAAAACCCTCTATACTTTCAAAACTGCATGTATCTCTCGACCAAAGAAGTTAGATGCAGAATTTATGAAACTACAAGAGAGTTAGACATAATTTTGAAAGTATGAAAAATTTTGTGCAATTTCGTGAAAGCATAGATGGGATTTTTTGCAAATTAGCCAAGATAAAAAATAATAATTTTGTTGCCAATATATCAAATTATCGTCACATACCGACATACCGAATATCAAAACAATATACGATATTTTTGGTATATGCCGAAAATTTTGAACTACACATTGTTATCAACAAGAAGAAGCATGAATTGTAATGAATTACCGGTCATGACGTACTCAGGGGCAGCATAACCGTAGGTGCCGAGAACACGGGTTGACACATGAGTTTGATCGCCAGTCGGCCCAACCCTCGCCAGCCCGAAATCGGAGAGCTTTGCGTTGAAGTCCTGTAAAAACGTTTTCCATACATTTTAGCTGTAGAGATACGTATACATACACCGAACATTTACGATAATGTATGAACAAACAGGATCGACTAACCGAGTCGAGCAAAATGTTCGAAGTCTTGAAATCTCTATATATAATGGGCTTCTCCACGCCGTGAAGAAACGCCAGCCCTCGCGCGGCATCAAGAGCAATTTTCATCCGTTGATGCCACATCAAAGAGGCTCGAGCTCCTGCAAGACGAACGATCATGAGAAATATCATAGCAAAGTCCGGGCAGAGTAGTCGCTATAATCGAATAAAATCCATTCTACAAATCCCTTCTGTACCAGTTGGTGGCACAAAATTCGATTTGGTTTCGATGTTAGGTTTTACTTAAGATACTCCAACCCCTTTCGAATCAAAATAACCGAATCGAAAAAATACAAATCTTTGAATCGACTATATTTACGAAGAGAAAGCTTTGCTACTCACTTAAGAAGAGGTGCTTCTCCAAGCTCCCGGACGCCATATATTCATAAACTAACAGCCTATGGTCGCCCTCGCAGCAATAGCCGATCAGTTTCACTAGATTAGGATGCCGTAGTTGTCCTAAATAATTGACTTCTGCCTGCAATAAGCAAAGCCATCTATAGAAAATTCTGTAGTTCGATCAAACACAGAGTTTGAGGACATTACCAGCCATTCCCGGTCTCCCTGCACGCCTCCACGATCAAGCTCTTTAATGGCGACCTGAGTGGTCCTGTAACCCGCCCTCACAGTATCATCTATAACTCCTTTGTAGACTATACCAAATCCACCCTCGCCGAGTACCTGATTCGGCCGAAAATGCTTGGTCGCCAACTTCATCTCCTCGTATGTGAAGATATCAAGATCGCCATTGCCAGGACTGCTGCGCAAATCCTTAATATTTTTCGGAATTATAACAACAGTATTGGGACTCACTGAGCCTGTCTTTGCAGCAGCAGACGAAGCCTCTTCTCGAACACCTTGTGACGGGAAACAATAAGAAATTTAATACCTGAATTAGAACCTACCATTGTTGTCTATGAATCTGCACTCCATCCATTCATTCTTAGATTTTCTCAACAGATATATTCACAGTCCCGAAGTAAATTAAGCTTAGCTCACTCAATCATATCAAGTTCGAAGAAAACAAACCAAATTGTTAACAACAGCAATACTTTCCTAGGAATTAATATAGCAATTCATCTCCATTGTTGTCGATAATTCTGCACTCGATCCATTCATTCTTAGATTTTCTCACCAGATATAATCACAGTTCCGCAAGTAAATTAATCTTAGCTCACTCAATCATATCAAGTGTTCGAAGAAAACAAACCAAATAGCAAACAGCAATACTTTGCCAGGAACTAATACAGCAATTCATCACCATTGATGTCTATGAATCTGTCGATCCATTCATTCTTAGATTTTCTCACCAGATATATTCAGTCACTAAAAGTAATTAAGCTTAGATTCACTCAATCAATCATATCGAGTTTTCGTAGAAAACAAACCAAATTGTAAACAGCTACACTTTTCCAGGAACTAATACAGCAATTCATCACGAAATCTTCAAATTCAGGCAGAAGCATATTAATAATCACTACAACAATTGGTCAAACTTCAGAATACATAGAACACTACTGCGATTGCTTAAATCCAAAGTAACATCAAGCACAGCATTAACCAACAACCATTCGAAGAATAATGACAAGCAACAACCAATTAACTACTTCCAAAACGAAATGAGACAACGCCAATTTAAACCTAAAGCAAAAAATTCACTAAAACGACGACGCTTCAAGTTCAGAGGATCAAAACCTGGTTTCCGACTCGATGTCGAAGATTTGTGCTGCGTCGGCAGAGGTCTGTCTTCCTCAACACTGAAACACGAGCCCATCCTTCGCCCTAGTTTCGCTCGCCGGATTCACATTCCAACCACCAGTCAGACACTACAACAAAATCAACGCAATAATTGCAGCACTTTCTTTAAATCCGATCTGGAATGGCGGAATATGATCGAAAAGGGAATGCGAGAGCGTGAAAGTAGAGCGGTGGGAACTCGGAGTGAGGGCGGAGGAGGAATGGCGAAAGGAAGAGAGTGAAGGAGATTGGCAGTGGCAGCGGAGCAGACACCTTCTGGATTGTAACGTTGCCATTTTGAGTCAAACAAATATTTATTTAGGAAAACTCCAAAACCAAACCCCAAGACGGTGATGTTTATTTCGCTCGCTTTAGTTTACCATTTTGCCCTTTGGATCCTTTTATTCACTAAAAAATTTTAAATATATTTTCCAATTAATATTATAGTAGGATGTGTTTGTTTGAGAGATTTTTTCTCAATTACACTATTTATCTATTTTTTTTTTCTTAAAATATTAAATTAAACAGTTAGTCAAATTTATTTTCATTTTTCTTGATCCGTCCACTAAATTTATCCTATTACTAATTTTGGCAAAGTCAACAAATCAACATTTAATTATTACCCTCAATTCAACACCTATTTATAAAAAAATACCACTAACTTTATTACAATATCTCTATTCATTTACTTTACTTTTTAATTAAATTTTAAAAAATACCTTTAACTACCTATCATTTTTCAATAAAATATTCATTTTTCTTAATTCTCGTGCCGAACCCAAATATGCTAATTTTAATGGACGGAGAGAGTATTATACTAAAAATCAATTTTACATTCGAAATATTACATCGTTTATTTATATCACACCATACAACTATTCAAATTCAAAATTTTTACTATTCAAATCTCAACTCAAAATTCAAACCCGAAAAAACTACCTCTTAGAATGTTCTTTTTGCCAGATGATCTTAGACAAAATAATATGCAATTATAATTGTAACAATTCGGAGGGTAATTTAGTAATCTCGCAATGCACAAGTTGTGAGAACGTTTTTGTAGCATATATTTGTCTACATTTGCAAACATACAGTCGCCCGCATCCTATACGCGCTTCTCAATAGTACTTCTACGCTTTTAAAAATATGTAATATCTTTTCAAAAAATAAAATAAAATAATAAATAAATGTAGATAAATAGACCCGAATAATTACCATAACAATAATAATGATAATGATATGTCGACACGTGTTCTTTTGTATTTTCAATTTACAAATAAAATAATCTCTTTCTTTTATATATATATTTTATAAATTAAGAAATCTCAATAACAAATTTAAGAATAAGTGGATGAAATTAGTTTATTAATTTAGTTTCTTAGTAGGAGTAGGTGTTGATTAATTAATTACTTTGGGTCAATATTTTAAAAGTCGTGTGTGATGTAACATATTATTTTTCTATGACATTTGACCATTAATAAATAATAAATTATATTGACTTATTTTATATTTGCTTGCGTATTTGAAGGGTACATACTCACTCGGTCTAAGGGTGTTATTTTTCATTTTTATCTGTCCCAAAATAAGAATATTATTTTCTACTAATTGTACTACTTACTTAACATAATAAATATTCTTCTCATTTAAAGTATATTACACAAATATCATTACTTTTATATTACACTATAAGTATTTTTATTTTTTTTATTACAATCTAATATAATATTAATATTAAAAAATCTAAGTAAAAACAAACACCACTCTTTCACCGGATAGAGGAAGTATTTTTATTTCAATTTTACTATATCTAGAAATTTCTCTAAAAAAATTGCTGTAGTCTATAAATGATCGTTTATAAAATATTCCATGAACGAGGATTATGCTTCTTTTTGGAGATTAATTTAAAATATTTATTATTAAACCAATCATTATTTATATACATATTATATACTTTTATGACCCGTTTAAATAAAATTTTAAATTACTAAACAAAGCATAAATCATAAAGCCCATTAAAACAATGTGAGGCCCAAAATGCGTCGGCCCAATATACAGAAGTATAAATACCGGAAGCGATTGCTGCAAATCAAGGTTCGGATTGCGTGACCCGTCGTGGCGACAAATTTGAAGGTTTTCAGCGAGCTTAGAGCAAATCTACGAGGGGAGAATCTTCGAAAATGGCAGACGAAGCAAACAGAAGTGTAAGCACGGCAATTTCTACTTAATAAATCCTCGAATCGCTGATTTTTATGATTTATTGTAAAAAAAATTTACAGGCGTTTCTAGAAATCCAAGGTCGGATGATTGAGACCACGGGAAAATTGAAGCAGGTACTTGTTTGTAGGTAAATAGTACTTGTGCGTTAGTTTGAGATTACGTCAATCAAAATCATGAAGAAAAGGTTGTGTATTGTTTCCTTTCAGGTTCAGAATCAGGTGCGAAACAAAGAAGCTGAGAAGAAGCGGGCTTACTTGACCTTGGAGGAGCTGAAGCAATTGTCAGATGATACAAATACTTATAAATCCATTGGGAGAACGTTAGTCTCTGCAAACGCTTAATTTTAATTTGTAGTTTGTAGTTTGTATTTTATGCTTCTGTGTTCTGATATTATCTGTATTGCCTTAGGAACATAGATGAATTGGAAATTTTGTTACATTTAATTTTGTTTTTCCTATAATTGTGGAACTCACTAGTAGATGATATGAATCTGTAGGTTTATTTTGGAGCCGAAGTCAGCTTTGATGGAAGAACAGGAACAAAAACTTACGGATAGTGAAGCAGCCATCTCCACTTTGTTGGTATGATTTGAAGTTCAATTTTGTGCTTATAAAATCTGATTTTTCAAGAGTGCTTCTCACTGAGATTGTATATTATCCTTTGGCACTAAGTGCAAATACAAAAATCTTGTGTTTCTTAGCGTGGAAATTTGGATATAGTGCATTGTTGGAACAAATACAATACATAATCAGAAATTACATGTTTTTAATGTCATATGTAAGAGCTGCTAGAAGTTTTATACAAGTAATGATGTTGAGCCGAGCATAAGAGGCTTTGGAATAAGAATGTTTTTCTTTTAGATGCTTGATTTGGAAATCCCATTTGCTCTAGTTATTGGCAACATATTTTTGTAGGCACATTTTTTCCTCGATATATCGACAACTGTTGAAGCAATGGCTTTAACCCTTAGTTGATCTTGATTCTTAAGTAGCATCATTTCTCGCTTTACGTATGCAAAGGTGTATTTTTTCAGTAATTTTCTTTTCTGTTCATGAAAGCCATAGCTGCAGATGTTGTGGTAAGCCAAAATGTCTATGTTTGGATATGTTTTAGAAGCGTTTTGGTGTTTTGGGTTACTTTGAAAATCGTAAAAAAATTAAATGGAAAATAAGTGTTGGATGTAAAGTTTTGAATAGAAAATAGTTTTTTTTTTTTTTTAATGAAATATTTGAAATGAAAATTATGTGTCGGATGTGAACTTTTTGAGGGGGAATTTTTTATGAACAGTGCTAAATTAAAGTTGAAAACATAAGTAGACATATGTTTCTGAAATAAGTAAATTATAATGCATATGGGATATCTTTCAGCTTAGTCTCCTTTCAGATTTCAATGTTTTCTTATTTTTAGATTTTTGAAAGCTTTTTATGGCCAATTTTATGATAATTACCTGAGAAAGAAACCGTGTTATCGGTATATCAGAAAAAAAAAAAAAAAAAAAAAAAAAAAAGCTGTTATCTTTGATCTATAGTTCATGTGTTAGCAAAGCGGAACCTAAGACATCCACCTACCCAATGAACGAGCGTAACCTAATTAACCAACCTCTCTGAAATCAGACAAACCAAAATTTAATTTACGTCAAGTCGAACATTCTGAAATAATTGGTAATTTAGTACAGCCATGGCTTCAAATTTTTGGACTGCAAACATTTCAGCATACAAAAATTCAAATTGATATGATCTGATTTTGTTTTTACTGGATAAGCACCCGTACTTCCAATGTGAGAATTTTATGATTTTATTTGACGTGTTCTCTGCTATCATTTCTCTTCCACTCGGCACATGAATTGTTAGGTTGCAATTTTTGAGTATATACATATAGTAACTTATAATTACATTGATCATACATTTTTGGCCGTTACATATCATGTTTTTACTTTTGCTAAAAAAAACATTTGCATAAATTGAATATAAAGTCTAGGACTTACAATATACACTTGTCTGGTATTTGTTCTTGTGGTACAGACGTCGAAGGAGTACTTGGAAAAACAAATGGCAGAAATCGAAAACAATCTTAGGGAGCTTTTGCAACAAGATCCCAGTCTTGCTCGGCAGATAATGGCGATGTCTGTATAAGCCTGGTTTCTCATGAAATTATTTCGAGGTGCGTCTGTTGCTTTCTTGGTTAGCATTTCTGTCGACAGCTTTAATTTCAGTTACATTTTTGTGCTTCTATAAATGTGATTACGATCAGTGGTATTATTATTTGTCATACGTGGTCGGGTTTGGATTAAATGCTTTTATGTGTTGGCCTGTTCCTTACGATACCAATATGTGCGCTGAATCTTGTTGTATCTGGTATATGCTTTCGAAGGAATTTTATATTTATAATTTAAGTAAAAATTAAAATATTTTAGTATTAAGTATAAAAATATAGGAAAAAATGGTACTATAAATGGGGACGAATATATGGTATCACTGTATATAGTGAATTTTGATATGGTCATGATACGTCTATTATGCAAAATTTTCTTTTGTATTGGAAGTTTACGGTACGGTAACAAATTCTACTAAAATTTTACTGTATGTATAAAAAAATAATACTATTATATATATATATAGAGGTATACCTCAGTATTTTTATTCACCTTATTTATGTTAGCAGCAGAGTGTTATGTCAACATTCTGGTTGCCAATGACCTGGCCTAGAATTATGGTGCGTTGCAAATTAGCTTGATAGTTTTTTTTTTAGTCGATTCAATTAGACGTTTGTATTAAAGTATTCGATAAAATAATTGTTTGATATTAGATATTTATTATTAAGGATATTTATATGTTAATTTTTAAAATATTTAATTTTGTTCAATTTGGTTTAAATATTTTGAGAATTTTTATTATTAATTATTGGAAATTATAAAATTTTTATTTTTATTTTTTAGATTTGAGAAAGATATTTTAATTTAAGAACAATAATAATTTTTTATTAAAATTATGTAATATAAAATAATAAATTTTTAGTATATATTATTTTATTATTTTAATTATTGTTTATTAAATTTTAATGTAAGATTTATGTAATAAAAAAATATATAAATAAATTAATAATATATTGTTTTATCTATTTGATCTATCTTAATGGATTTATATATTTTACAAAATAAAGTAATTTATATGTAATAATGAATAATAGTAAATTCAAAAAATTCGTTTTCAAACACCCCCTAGTTATGGGCTAGTCCAAAATTTTGTATTCATTTGGGTCCATTATACTGGTCCGGGACTGGATGGGCTAGCCACGGTATTTGTCCCAGGACCATTATGTGGGCCTGGACCTCGATCCCTTCCACTACCCCGGGACCAGGCCTGCTGCATTTATTGCATTTCCTGGTCCTGGGCCATAATGTTCTGTAGTGGGACTATTCGGTCCAGGAATCCCATATCTCTGGGCTAGGCCTGGACTTGGACTTTATAAACGGGTCCCTAGAACTCTTAGTCGGTCCAGATCCAGATCTGTGTTGTGTGTCTGCCTGATCCAGCCCAATGAAACTCGTTCATAAGCGGGTCCCTATAACTTTGGGCTATATGTGGACCCGGAGCTCAAAAGGCAGGCCCAAAATAATTTCTGCGCTAGGCCCAGACGCTGCCTTTATGTTTGCGGCGCGCCTCGGAGCTATAATTCAGTTTCGATGCAAAATAAAATGAAATATATATATATATCTGGATAAACTCCAGATAAAACCTATTACCTTACAGGAGACATTTTGAATGGATAGAAGAGATGCATAAATAAATGAAAGCAGGTCCTATCAGTACATACTACATAAGTTAGCTTGTCTCAAACTAACATCCAATCAGCAAAAATCAACCTCCTAAATAAAATATATTAAATAGTATATCATCATTCATAATATTTTTTTACCTCTAAACCCATAAAAAACTAAAAACTCAAGATTTCGCACAAGAAACACAAAAAAACAGTAAGCAGTCAGTCGGTCATCATAAACAAAGCTTTTCCTCCTCCAGTCAAATTTTCTATCTGAAGAAAATCAAGTCTGAAACGATACATAAATACATACACATACATACATAAATAAATACACATATAAATACATACATAGATACATAAAAACCTGTTTTTGCAGCTCCTCCTCCTCCTCCTTTCCTAACCTTTAAATCCACATCGATCTACATATCGATCCCTCAATCAATCAGTCCGTCGTCATCGGCTGGCTCACGCAGCACCTAAAGCGCGCTTTTCTCACAGTCGTCAAGATCTCAGTCTCGGCAGCCTCGAGCATTCGCACCACCTCACCGAACGAGGGCCTCACGTCAGGATTCCCGTCCCAGCACCGCATCATGATCTGGCTCAGCGCGGGAAGGCAGTCGTTGGGAATGGTCGGGCGGACGCCTTTGTTGACAACAGCAAACGCCGCCTGCACAGCAGTCATGTTCTGGAACGGAAGCATTCCCGTGATCAGCTCCCACAGGACGATCCCGAAGCTGTAAACGTCCACTTTCTGGGTGTACGGCCTGTGCTGAATCATTTCCCTGCCAAGTTCAAACCCCACTACCATCTTAACATCACGCCGCTTTCCCGCTAGATACGGACATATTATAATAATTCATTATAAACAATAAAAACATATTCGAAAGGTTTTCGATAATTTTGAAACAAGCATACCTTGCATTGTAATATCATCGAGCTTAAATAAAGAAACTGGGTGGAAATTCATAGGCTCCATTCTCTTCGAGATTTCTTAAAAGTTTTTTTACTATACAATCCGGACGACTTTATGTAAAAATATATTAGGTAAAATTGTTTATAACTCCCCTGTAGTTTCAAAATTCAGCGTAAAATCTCTCAACACTTTAAAAATTGCATGAAACCACACCTCCATAAAACCTCTCTTGTGTGATGAAAATATGATTTCTATCAATATTTTTTGCATGAGGGGGTTTTATGTAATATTTTGGGTTCATGCAATTTTTAAAATAAAGTGAGGATTTACACCAAGTTTCGAAACCACAGAAAAATTTCATGCAACATTTTTTAAAATACAAGGGGAAGCCATATTATTTTTAATAGTAAAAGGGGATTTATGCTGAGTTTCGTAACTACAAGAAAGTTATGGATAATTTTGTCAATATATTATTTCCTCTCACAAAATTTTCATACCCAACCACTATTTAAGCACAAACAATACATGTCGAAGAGAGGGTGTAACGGATAAACCAAAACGAAAAAAAAAAAAAAAGAAAACTAGAATTAATGGCTGCAACGCCCCCAAGAATTTTCTGGAACTTGGTATCCATACTTTCTGCAAGCATTAATGCATTACTAGGAATGTGAACACAATCAGTGTTTTGCGGATCGAACCTGATTTTAGACAGAGCGATCTGAAGGGAGCCAGGTTATGTCCTACACAGAATTGGACTAATAAACCCTAGCAAGACTCTCAGGTCTCAAATATGATAAGTATTTCTAATAGGACAAACTAAAAATAACAATATAATTTGATATTTTTTACTACTTTTAGAATTAGTTAAAACCACAAAATGAGCTTTTCTAGAAAGGGGTGATTCCGTTGTTATTAACAAGCTGCATCAGGTGCACGACTAGATTATGAAAAGAGCAAGAATGTATGGAAAGATATAGAAAACGAGCAACAATACAAGCGATCTAAATGGTAATTATGAAGCAAGAATTAGTAGAGCATAGAAAATGTAAAGGATATTCTACTGTAATTTGATTTAAGAGTGTCTGGCTGGGATGTTAATCTACTCACAATTGCTACTTTTAGTGAAACAAAAGGATCTAAATACCGGGACCATGTTAGTTCCTGTTTAGCACTTTTTTAATCCAAATTTCATCCCGATTCCTAAATAGACAATTCTTTTTAGTTTTTCCAATTAACAATTTCTCGCCTATGTTTCTAACATTAAATGAATAGTAATGCTCATTGTCTACCAATCAAATGAAAAAAAATTAATGCCGTGCTAAGAAAGTGTAGCGTCATCCAAGTAAAGTAGAAAGCTTAGTGCTGTCTCAGAAAACTACTTGTCCGGAAACTTTGGTTTTTCAATTGCCCTAACAGTCATCCAATTCATTTGTGCAAACTAAAGAAAACACGACTTAGGGAACTAAATGAAAAGGTAAATAAAATAAAATAAAAATTGGAAGCATGAAAATCAACAATCAGGTTGGCCGAAAACTAGGAAAGATTTTCCTCAATATGATGACTGAGATACAACATATTGGTTTAAGCAGATAACACTACCAGAAAAATATGGGTGATCTTCACTGTCAACAAGTTAATAATAACCTGTAACTCTTTTGATATATAAACATGATCATGAATAGGAGAGCTCATTTTTCTAAAGAAAAAACAGACTTATAATGTAAGCAATAAATCGGCCGACGAATTTTTAAGGCTACCATGAGAACCAGTACAAGTACAAGCTATGTTAACACTACAGTTAAACTAACACCTTGGATGATTGCATTAGGAAAATCAGTGTGACCGAACCCAGATGCTGTGTAAAGTAAGCTTCTTTTTTTCTTTTTTTTTTTACTATGAAATCTCACAATTTTCCTACAAAAACATCAAATCCAATAATAATTCAACCTAGAAACCATTTTGTTTTTTTAAAGAACAAATAACATTGGTTTCGAAATAATGTGTAACCTTCTAAAGTCATTAGGACTTTTTAAAAGCTAATAAATTATTTGAAAGCCTCCTCAACAGATAGAATTACCGAATATAATTCCAATTATATGGCAAAAAAATTAAAAGGGTATCGGAAGTAGACACTTACGGGGCCATCCAACGGTATGTGCCAGTCTCGGGAGTCATTCCTTCAGTCTGCACTTCAATTCGAGCTACCCCAAAATCAGCAATTTTAATGGATTTGTCAGCAGCAATCAGAAGATTGTCAGACTTTAAATCCCGATGAATCAAATTTAGCCCATGCACATACTCCATCCCCCTAGCCACATCCAAAGCCTGCTTTACAGCTAATTTCAGGGGCACTGAACGATTCTGCCGCTTTGTCAAGAATTGTCGTACTGAACCTCCCTTGGCATATTCAGTAATAATACACCAGACCATGGGTTTGCGGCATGCGCCAATGAATCGAACAATATTAGGATGCTTCAATCTTGCTAGCATCATTACTTCCTGCTGAAACTGTTGCTCCATCAATTGTGCCCTGTCGGCATCATTCTCCGGCTTCTCCAGAAGCTTAATTGCAACATCTTCACCATTATATGTGCCTTTGTAGAGTTTCCCGAATGCACCTTGAGCAAAAGCAGGCCCCATGTTGAGCTTCCTAAGATCAATCGTCCACTCATCGTAATTACCGAGGCCCTCGGTCGGATATCGAGGATCCATCAAAGCTTGAGCTAGCGCATCATTACTGAGCCCTTGGGACACTTTCCCACGATTGACGCTGGCCGCAACAGAATAATTTTTTACATGTTTGAGGCCTAGGTGGTTCAAGATTCGAGTGTGTGAATCATTAGATCCAACACTGCTGTCCATTGACATGGCAACAGAACCTCCGCCATTGCTCATCTGCATGCTCCCATAACTTTCGAGAGACATATTTGACCCCTCGAGCTTGTGATACAAATTTTGAGGAAAGTCATTGTCATGGATATTGTTCAATCCTATGATTCCTGGGAATTTCGGACCCTCCAACATTTTCCAATTTCCTATCAATAAAGCAATCTCAGTGCAGAACCTTGAAAGTATACTATATCTTCAGCATCAGAATTTCCAAGCTTTACGCCTCCAAAATCCTAATACACTCAGAAAATACAAGAAATTATAATCATGAAGTAAAGCTATCAAATAAAAATAATAATAACAATAATAAACTCAAAAGTAATCGAGTAGTTCATGAACAAATAAATAACCAAAAGAAATTATTTTTAGATTTGAATTGAATTTTTTAAAATAAATTGAACATACAGACAAGATTCTCTTAACAAACAATCTGTTATGTTAACACACCAATCATTGATTCTAGATGAAAGCCAAATAATGCATCTTCTTCTGAGAAAAAAAGGAGAAAAACCTTCAAACATTTAAACATTTAAGGGAACATTTACCTTCTATTGTGATGGTTTGATTGCCCATCACTTATCCAATCAAAAGCATAGTATATTAAAAAGCATACAATAATTTCACGGCAACATTCAAGACTTCCTCTAGTAATAATTTATATACACATACATAAAAAGCGAAAGAATCTTTATTGTGCGGCTTTTGTTTTATTAGGAATCCAAACTACGTTTCCGTACAAAAACAGTTGACACCCCTGATCTCAACGAAGAGGTAGATAGGAGAATTAATACTGCGCCGTCAATAATTTAAAATGCTGTATCTTGATCAAAAAGTTTGACACCGGACAACTGTCGAATCCAACAAAACAGCATCTTAGTAATGGAAGCTGGAGAAAAAGAACCAATAAAATCTGCCAAGATACCACCCAAACTTATTACCTAGTATAGAACCTCATTTAGCATAAATTCCACAAAAAGCAATACACACAGGAATTCATTGAACTATACACTAAAATGCTTTCAAATCCACAAAATTTAACAACTTAATATCAAAATCTACAGACCAAATTTACATTAAAATTCAGCCAAGATAATTTCCCAAGCTTTACCTATTCAGAACCTCATTTAGCTTAAAGAAATTTTATTTCCTTTCGAGAAAATCTTCAGCTGAATGCAAACAATCGCATCTCACAAATCACCCATCCAAAACATATACTCGACTTCCATCCGTTGGCTATGGCTAATGATTACACTCGCTCACCGTCCAAACTTTCTGTCAGTCAAAAGTAACACTGAAGCTTTAGCCTATAGCTACAAAACCAGAAGTTTCCACACGGACAGATATCACCAAAGGCAGGAACGCAAGCTAAAATCGCCGTCTCAACATTAAACCAAGGCGCGGACAAAATCAAGCAACGGAAACCCCTAATAAACGGCATAAACCCTAAAAACGCACAAAAATCTCGGTGATCCAAGCGGAATTCAGGAGCAAAAAGGTAGTACCAAAACCCTACCTCGATGGCGAAGCGTTAGAGCTCGACAATTCCAACGGATTCAGAACCAGAAGCAAAACCGGATAGTAATTCAGCAGCGAGTGCAGTATTGCAGCGAATATCCCCTCGTCCTCCTGCTCGTCCGCCCCCCGATTCCGCCGCGCACTTATGGAGACAACACGCAAAGCCGAAACCGACAGGAGCGTGCATCAAGGGATACGGTTTGTAGAGAGAGAAAGCGGAGCAGGACGTAAATGTAGACGGCAAAATGAGAGCAACCAAAAGTGTCTGCGGAGATAGAGATAGAGATAGAGAGAGAGACAGAGCAGTCTTCGTGCCTCCCTTTTATTTATTTATTTATTAGTCCCTCAATCCAATAAAATTATGGGTTTGTTTCTTTTGATGATTTGAGAAATTTTTATTTTGTATTTGGTATTAAAATAATTTATGATAAAGATTTTTGTAAGAAAAAAAATATATACTTTCTCTGTCTCAGAAAAAAATGTCTTGTTGGGAGTTCGCACGTGAATAATAGTATTTAATTGAAAATATATATAAAGTATGATGTAAATGACTATAATGCTTTTATTTTTTTAAAGATTTTAAAAAATAGATTAGAGTAATAATTATGAGCAGTTTGGAAAAGTATGAATAATTTTGTTATAAAGTGGGACCACCGTTACTAAATAAGGAAACAAGACAATTGTTTTGGAACGGACAAAAATGGAAAAACAAACAACTCTTTTGGGACGGAGAGAGTATTGTTTTTTTTAAAAAAAAATACATAATTCAAATTGTAAAAATTTAAAATTTTTGGTGTAAAAAAAACATCTTATGTTACTCTTCCAAAATAAAGATATCATTTTTTATTTTTGTTTGGAAAAAGACAAGAGTTATGTTAATTGTACTATTAATATAATAAGTACTCTTATAATTTAATATTCTCTCCATCATATTTATTTTTGTGTCATTATAGTCAATATTAAAAATATCACTATATAGAAGTATTTTAATTTATATTATATTTTTATATAATAATTAACGTTCAAATAAATAAATTGGACATTTAGATTTGAACGAAAACTTATACTAATTTAACTGGATCAATCTATATTATAAGAGTTACTAACATATATTTATAAATATATCAACATATTTATAATATAAGATATGCTATATTATTAGTCACTATATATTGACATATATATATATAAACATATGTTGTCACCCTATGTTAATCCGGATAAATACATAATCTGCAGTCATATTATTATTATTATATTGCATAATATTAATAAAAATATTTTTATTTTTATATTATAAATTAATATAATACTAATACTAAAAATTTTATGTACAATGACAAATAATATTCATTCTTTTTGGAGAAAAATATATTTTTATAACGTGAGAAATCGTAATCGCTGTGCGAAAGTGCACACTGAGTAAATATATATCTATATTTTATTGGTGTCACTTGTTGTTCTTTTATGAAAAAAAAAATTATACATTTTTACTATATTTTGAATTTTATAATCTAGGTAGTGATTTAAATTTTAATTTGTAATTATTTATATTATATTGTAATTATTTTTTTAATATATTTTTAATTGTTTATTAATTATGTGATTCTCTAAATTCTTGTATATATTATGTACAAAATATGTACATAATAAAATAGATGGGATAAAGAGAATAATATTTTTAATATTTTCATTTATTCTAATCAAAAATATTTATTTTTAAATAATTATATATTAATATTATTTTTTTTAAAATTTTACTAAATTATAAATATATTATTACATATATAAATAAAATATAAAAATCATTTTATACATTTTATTAATTAATAAAATATTATTATTTTTAAAATTTATTATATAAAAAATATATATACATTCTTTTGGGTCACAGATAGTACTTTTTTATATAAATATAAATATTTTGTATTTTAATAAATAATAAATAATTTAATTATTTTATTTTAATCAATTTTTTAATAATTTGGACATAAATTTTAAAAATAAATATAATATTATATTTTTGGATTATAATATAAAATATTATGAAAATACTTTAAATATATAAATAAATTGATGGGATGGACAATTTTTTTATAGATTAAAAATGTAAATAGCATTGGTATATTTATCAATAAATTTAGGGTGTGTTTGTTTTCACGATTTCCAAATATTTTCATTATTCATCAGTTCCTTCACCCATAAAAAAAATAAAAATAAAAATAAAAAATAAAAAATTAAGTCAAATATTTATTTATTTTTTATTTTTTATATTATACTAAAAATTAATTTTACATTCAAAATATTACATAAACATCTATTTATATCACATCATATCACTGTTCTAATTCAAATATTTTTACTATTCAGATTTCAACTCAAATTCTAAATCTTCAAGCAAACACACAGTTAATATTAAAAAATATAAATTTAAAAGTACTATATTTTTTCCATAACAAAATATTCATTTTTTCATTTTAATCCGTTTCGTAACAAAATATTCATTTCATTTTTTAGGAAATTTACTATCTATCTAACATTACAAATACCTTTACAATTTACAATATATTACACAAATGTCATTACCTTTATATCACATCATACTAATAAGGTTATTTAAGTCATTTTTAATTTATTCCTACTATATCTTAATATAATATTAATATTTCTAAAATTATGTATAAAAAATAAATAGATACCTAAGTATGAGATAGAGAAAATATAATATATCATAATTGTTTTTTAAAAGGAAAAAATATATATATTTTTAATTAAATTGAAGGATGGAGTATTTATTTATTTACTTTTTAATTAGGGGGAGGACCTCCTACGGTGACACACGTTGTACGTGTGCTGTCGGTGGGGGCCATTCTGGCTTAGAGAGAATGTGACCGTCGAGCTGATTATCGTAGAAATGCGGGGCTCACGCGTGAGAAGTGCTGAGCGAATAAGTCGCACGCGCCGCTCAATCTATATGGTCCCACTCTTATTATATACTCCATCCGCCCCATATAATATGAGTGTATTACCGTAAACACGTGAATTTAGATAAAGTATAATTAGTAAGTAATTAAAAAATGAATTAATAAAAATAATTATTATTTAGTAAAAATAATTATAGATTAAAATTAAGATAACTAAATAGTTTAATTAAAACTAAAAAAAATTTAAATTTAAAATTTAAAATATGATTAAAATATATAATTAATTTTTCAAAAAAAAAATGACAAATTATGTGTGACGGATGAAAATAAAAAATAAAGACAAGTTATGTGGGACGGAGGGAGTATATTTTTTTTAATTTTTTAAATTTAATTTTAATACTCTCATTCTTGTCACGTTTACTTTAATTTAAATACTCCTTCCATCCAAAAAGTAAAGTATAGTCTTATTGTGTTGGACACGAGATTTAAGAAATATTAATATTATATTAGTAGTTGATAAAAAGTAAAGATAAATAATTTTTTTTGCCCTTGTGAGTATATTAGTGTAAAGAGTAGTGACAATTATGTAATAATAATAAAAAAAGTAGGAATAATTTTATGTTGATATAGTTATTTATGAAAATGAGATTATTATTTTCGGACGGACAAAAATGGTAAACAAAACTATTGTATTGAGACAAAATAAATATTATTTATTTGATAAATTTATTTTTATTTTTTTTAATCGATCACCTAAATTTATCTTCTTACTAATTTTAGCAAAATTAATATTTAATGATTACCCTATATTTAATATTTATTTATAATAAATAGCATTATCAATAAATATTACTACTTTTATTATATTTTATTTTTATTTATGTTAATTTCTAATTAAATTTTAAAAATTTATTTATTTATTTATTTTATTTTTATTATTTTTTAATAAAATTTTTATTTTTTTATTTCCGGTTCGGGCCATAGGCTAATTTTAATAGAATGGGAGAATAGTTTTTAGTTAAATTATATATATGATAAAAACCAATCTGCACAAATTTTCTAATTATTTTGCTTAATTATTTTATATATAATTAAGATAGTATTTATCATATTCCAGTGCAATAATCTATCTTAAGCTAATTAGGTGGATGAACGGTGTAGATTCAATCTGGCGTCGGCGTCCAGGGTCTTTCCACTGTATCTCTAGTCCCGCTCCCATGGATTCCTCTTCACCTCCCTGACATTGCGAACAGCCTTCCAGAACACACTATTGCAGTCCAATCCGGACCCCAACGCCAGCTGCCAGACGCGATCGCCATTGTTGATCCTATTTTGAGCTTCAAGGTAAGCCAATTCGTACCAGATACTGCTGCTAGACGAGTTTCCGAATCGCTCCAGCGTCTTCCTCGAGGCTTCCATGAACTCGTCCGCGAGGTCCAGGTCCTCCTGTATCCGGTCCAGGACCTTCTTGCTCGTCGCCAGGATGCAGATGTGCTCGAACGCCGGCTTATCGGAGCTCTTCCTGAAAATTAGGGATTTGAAGAAATGGAACCGCTCCGAGATCGGAAGAACGAGAGAGTTTAGAGATTTGATGTTAGCCTTCAGAGCGTCTCCGGCGAGCTCGATCATGTCTTTGCTCACCGACAGGCCTCGCCGGCCGCCGGAATCCTCCCGGAGATATATGCTCCGGTAGCTCCGGTCGTCTGTGTGTTTGTGCGTTCGAACCAACTGCAAAATTAACGATTTGATATATAATCCGTACAGATTTGGCTAGTCGATTGTGTGATTCTTTTTTCAATTTGGGGATTTATGAGTCGATTTTATATTTGGATAAAATTTTGAAATATGGAGTCGAGTGTGGCATCCGCGGTCGCTATCCGAAAGTGCGCATTAGATAAACTCTTGTCGAACTTAATACTCTGCAAACTATGCCCGATGGAAAAGTCATACTAGGCGAACCAATTTGTGGCAGGTGAACCTTTGGATAAACTCTGATCGAACTTAATACTCTGCAAACTAGGCCCGACGGAAAAGTCACACCAGGCGAACCAATTTGTGGCAGGTGGACCCGAGGCGTCGGAGGTTAGAATCCATGCACGGTCACAAATTCAACCCTTACACCACCAAACCATCCTTACGGGACATCTTTATCTATATTTTAAATTTAGGGTGTGTTTGTTTTGGGAATTTTCCCCCAAATACACTGTTCATTCTATTTGTTTTCAAAAAATATCAAATCAAACACCTATTTTTTATTTTTTATATATTATACTCCATCCGTCCCAAAAGAGACGTCTTATTGGGTATTAGTACGAGAATTTAGAAATAATAGTATTTAATTGAAAGTTGGTATAAAGTAGAATATCAAAAACTAAAATGTTCTTAATTTTTTTAAGGATTTTAAAAAATAGATTAGAGAAATAATTATAGATAGTTTAGAAAAGTAGAAATAATTTTGTTACAAAGTGGGAACCACAGTTATTAAATAAGGAAACAAAACAATTGTTTTGGAACAGACGTAAATGGAAAAACAAGACAACTCTTTTGGAACAGATGAAGTACTAAAAATTAATTTTATCTTCAAAATATCACATCAATACTTATTTATATCACTATTATACAACTATTCAAATTTAAAATTTTTACTATTCAAATCCCAACTCAAAATTCAAACCCTGACAAACACACCTAGGATTATGTTATTTATTTATTATTATTGTTTTTGTTTTAATCTCTAATCGAATTTAATAAACTCTAAATTAGATTCGAGAATGCAAGTAAAATGGTAACCATGTATGGCAGCCCGGCAGCTGGACCTTTAGTAAAATGTTATTTATTTATTTTTATTATTATTTTTGTTATTAGTCTGTCTCTAAAGGTCATATTTAATTATATTTAATATTAAAAATATTTTTATATTTGTATATTTTTTTATATAAATGTTATTCTATTAGTATTATAAGACAATAATGTAAGTATTTTTGATTTTTTTTTTAAATTTATACTATATTTTGATATAATAATTAATATTAAAAAATCAACACATAAAAGATAAATTAGAGGTAGTATTTTATACTCCCTCCATCCACATAGAAAGTAAACATTTACTTTTGGCATAGTATATAAGAAATAATAGTATTTTAATTATAATGGACAGTTATAAGTAGTGTAATGACATTTTTGCCCTTTCTTTTTGATGTAAAAGTAACGATGCGATGTAAAGTAAAGTAAGAGTATTTGTGAAAAAAATGAGGTATTTAATGAAATATTTATTTTGTAATTAGACATAATAGAAATATATATACTTTTTAGCTGAACGGATGGAGTATTAAACATTAATTTGTTGCATAAAGAATATTCTTCCGAGTCAATTCAATTGAGTTCTTTTAAAATTTTGTAATAGATTAATAAATAATAATATTTTATTGATTAGTTAAAGTCTGTAAAAAATTTTGATAGTTTTATGTTTTGACTTTATGCATAAAATAATTATATTTATAATTGTATGTTTGTAATTTAAATAAAAATTAAAATATTTTAATATTAGTGTAAAATTATTTTACAAAAATAGAAATAGATATTTTAAAGTAACACAAACAAAATAGTAAAAGTATTATTTGGAATCGACACAAAAAAAGTACTCCTTCCGTCCGCGAAATTTATTCTCACTTTTTTTTTTAATCTGTCTAATAAATTTATCCAATTATTAATTTTAGCAAAGTCAATAAATCTAACATTTAATTATTACCATTCATTCAATACTTATTTACAATAAATACCACTAAATTTATTACATTCTCTCTTCATTTACTTTATTTTTTAACTAAAATTTCAAAAATATTCTCAACTACCTATTACTTATTCAATAAAATATTTATTTTTCTTAATTTTGGGGCCAACTCAAATGACTAATTTTAATGGTGGGAAGAAGTATATAATATACTTTCTCCGTCTTTAGCTTTTTTAATTAAAAATAATTTGTATATAAATATCAAAATACTTATAATTTTAAAAATATATATACTTATATTTTTGGTATTTACAATAATAAAAATATAAATATTAGAGATGGTTAAAATAAATTAGAGCATAAAATAGAATAAATTGAATTAAGTTTAAAATTTGGAGGAAAAAAAAAAAAAATTGGAATTGATTGGAGATGGTCAGCGAGCGTACCTGTTTGAGTTGATACTTGCAGCGCCACCGGTCGCGGCGGCGATTGGAGAGGAGGACGGCGGCGGCGCCCAATCGAAGAAAGCAGTTAGGTAGGATCATGTCGGAGTCGCCGCCGGCGTACCAGGTGTAGCGGAGGACTTCGGTGCTCACAATCAGCGCGTACGACGGCGGATACGCCTTCAGGAGGTTGTTCGCGAGGTCGACGGCGGCGACACCGGCGGCGCCGCCCATGCCGCCGAGGTTGTAGGTCCGGATCCGGTGGTTGAGCTTGTAGTGGTTAACGATCATGGCGGAGAGCGACGGCGTCGCGTTGAAAACGCCGCAGTTAACGATGAGGATCCGTACATCGTTGAGGCGGAGCGCGGTGGCGGCGAGGAGGTTGTCCACCGCTCCGTACATCAGCATCGCCGCCTCTTCCCGGCCGCCGTGGAAGTCGGCGGCGTATCCTGGCCGGAATACGGCGCGTGGCAGGTAGGTGGCGTCGCCGATGCCGGAAGTGTTGAGCACGCGCCGCTGGAATTTTAATGACTCGTCGTTGAACTGACCTGATTTCTTTGCCAGTTCTATGTATTCCTCTTTCGTAATCTAATTAATAAAATATAAATAAAATTAAATGAATAAATATAAGAATACTACTAATAATAATAATAATTACTCTTACACTCCACCTTTAATGGTCTCATTTATCTTTGTCTTTTGAATAAATATTATTATCAGACACTAATAAAAATATTTTTACTTTTTTTTTAAAATTTATATTATATTTTTATATAATAATTAATATTTAAAGTATATTATTATTATTATTATTATTATTATTATTATAAATACCCTGTTAGTTATGTATTATTTTAAATAAAAATTTATATTACAAAAAATCAAATTAAAAAATACTATTTATACATAAATTCAAATCAAAAATTTATTTCAAATTAAAGTCAAACTCAAAATCTACTGATTGTTTTATTTTGATTTAAAATTAAAATTATCATAGTTCAATTTGTATAATTTAAAAAATATATATATTATAAAACATTAAATAAACAAATACAAATGGCCACACCCTTAAATTTTGAGTGTAACAAATTTAATTTTAACAATAGGGTCTCTATTTCTATATTTATTTTTGTATTTTATATTATATATATTGATGCTATATTTTACATTAAAAATTAATATATTTTTATAAAAATCATATAAATAAATAAAATCGAAATAAATAGAGCCAATGCGTACCTTAAATTTTTCGGGCGGTACATAACAAGCAAAATCGATGAGATAAGTAACCGTCGGTGCCAAATTAAACAAAACATAGACTAACACGGCCAAGACACCAAAAAACAAAACAATATTCGTCGAGTTAAAATACTTCATAAAAAAAATATTCAAAGTAAGTTTTCCAAATTTGGTGCCGAATGCAAGAAGAAGGCTCGAGGCGCCCATGAAGTAGATGCAAAAATTGATGAGGTAGACGTAACCAATCTTGACGTATTTAAGGTTGTTAAGGCTAAGAAAGTCGGGGAAGCCGTGAAGAGCCCTAACCGAGAAGGGCCTGGAGCCCGCGTCGGGGCCCGACTCTTTGATCACTATTTTAGTTGAAAGATGTTCATTTCTTGCCATGATGTTAGAAGGAATTAAGGATCGAAGAGTTTTGAGTGTAAGAGAATTAAAATGGTAGGAAGTATGAAAAGGAAGAGGAAGTTGTTAGAATGCCTCGACTAATACCACTTTATAAAGAACACTAAATGATATTCGTTAAAAAAATAAAATAAACAATAATACTCCATTTGTCTCAGAACTATAGTTTGAGTTATGTTCGACACGGGACTTAAGGAATATTGATATTATATTCGTAGTGGGTAAAAAATACGGGTAAAAGATTTTTATGTCCTTACGAGTGTATTAATGTAAAAAGTAGTGACAATTATGTAATAATAATGAACAAGTAAAGATAGTTTTACAATGATATGATTATTTATGAAAATGAGACTATTGTTTTGAAACGAACAAAAATGGTAAATAAGACTATTGTATTAAAACGGACGAAGTACTATAATATAATATTGGTATTTTAAAAGTGGGATTATTATTGAATGTGATTATTTATCAACATAATAAAAAAACAAGGTTGAAAATATAATACCCCACTGTTCTACTTTATTATTTTTTAATCCAGTAAGTATGATAATAAAAAATTAATAAAAAAAAAAAAACAAACTAAATGCTGATTCAATAAATCTAACATATTAATTTCATACTTTCTTCGGCAACTGGAAAGGGATTTTTTTTTTTTGGTTTGATAGTAAATTAAAAAATAATAATATTTTATTAATTAGTAGAAGTGCTTATAATTTCATATATAAGATAATTGTATATTTAATGGTATTTTTATAATTTAGATAAAAGTTAAATGTATTTTGGTATTAATGTATAATTATTTTTAATAAAATAGAAAAAAAATACTAAATGATAAAAAGTACTTTAAATTGGGAAAAAAAAATTATATCCCGTCCACATAGAAAACAAACATTTACTTTTTGACGTGGTATTTAATAAATACTCCCTCCGTCCTAGATACCGTGTCTGCTACATTGTAGACACGGTATTTTAGGAGGGGTGTAATTAGTAGATAATTAAAAATGTATTAGTGAAAATAATTATTCTATAATATAAATAATTATAAATTAAGATTAAGATAACTAATTAGTTTAATTAAAATTAAAAATAAAAAATAAAATTAAAAAACTTAAAATGAGATTAAAGTGTGTAATCATTTTAAAAAAATGAAAGTGATATGGTAGGTGGGATAAATGAAAGTGATATGGTAAGTGGAATGGACAGAAACGACAACGTGGACATAGTATATGGGACGGAGAGAGTAATAATTATAGTAGATAGTTAAAACTAGTATAATGACATTTTTGTCTTTGCAACGATGTAAAAATATATTTTTGAAAAAAAATAAAATATCTTTGTAATTAAATGTCCTAAAATAAAAATATATACTTTCTAACAAAAATTAATGAAATTAACAAAAATTTATATAAAAAATGGCATGGTATTGCAAAGATAACCCTCGTCCATAAAATCATGAGTTCAAACTCCCGTCCGTAAATCCATACATAGACTAAAAAAGGAAGTAATACATAACAGCCATAATTCGTTGGTTGCGAAGATTATGCATTAATAGTACACTACACAAAAGATGAGATTTTTCAACAGAAAGGGGAAAGGGAACTGAACTATTTCTTACATTGAAGAACCTCTTCTTCCTTTCTTGTCTACTTGTGCTACCAATTTCATGCGTCTCCACATTGTCTTAAAACTCTCCCATACGTACGTACCACCATATCCATAACCTTATTTTCTTTCCTTTCCGGGACCAACATTCGACTTCCCGACCTCCCGATTAGTTCCGAATCCTGTCCGGAAATGACAACTAATTTCCTACTCAAACTCAAATACCTATCCGGTCAAGTCTCGACGTAAAAAGCGGATGAAATAATGTCACGAAAGTAACTCAACCATTTACCGCCGTCGATTTTGTGATCCGGTCGAAGAGACGGTGATTTTCCGGGAAATTGCGAATTCCTCGAGCTTCTAGAAGTTTTCTTCGTCGGGTGTCTTTCCCTTTCCCTTTTTCTTACGGGCGCCACTTAAGGCCGCCTTTGTCTTCGTCCATTCCTTCAACGACGCCGCATTCCTCATGAACGGGCAGGTTTCACTCACGACGACGTCGCTGATTGCTCGATAATTCAAGGCCTCGTCGTTGTTTTCGACCGCCTGCTTCGAATCAGAATCAGAATCCGATCGATCGTCGTCTCGAGAACTTTTGACATCTTTACAATCACTTCCTCGAGGTTCAACAATGTCGCTTCTCGAATTCGAACTTGCGTTTTCGGCTAGCTGAGATTCGGGGTTTTCGAAAGTAACGCCGGGCAAAATCTGGCCAATGCTGAAGGCGTTCGCATCCGCAACAAGTTGTAACCACGACGACTTTTGCAGCCACGCGGCGCCTCTGGCTGTCGTTTTATCGTCAACCATAGTAGGTTCGGAAGATTGATCGTCGAGCAAGGGTTTCGACTCTTTTTCTTCTCTCGATCGGTCATCATCATCCTGCTCGACTTTTTCGCCAACGTCAGCTTCAGGATTACGAATCGAAAAAATATCCGAGATATGGAAAGCACCAACTCCTTTCTCCCTGACCAGGTCTTTCCACGCCGACTTACGTGAGTTCGTCGCATCTCGACTTAATTCCGTATCTGTTTGTTCAGTGTTCGTAGCAACGGGATCGTCACTGTTGCTATGCCGAGCCCTCTTAGCAGCATTTATTTCAGATTCGTCGGATAGCTTCCTTTTCTTGTCAATAAGAAGTCTCCCCTTTTTATTTCCGCGCATTTCGTCGACGGGTTTAGTAAAATCCTGGAAAAAAAACAGATGTATCAGCGCAAACGACGCACACAAGATTGTAAATGAGAAAATTGAAACAATAGATTATTAAACTTTCATGACGGGCACCATACCTGATTTTTTAATGTAGTTGTTTTCTGCCCCCAGTCCTCTAATACAGCAACTCTCTTACTAGACCGGCTCGTCATGTTAATTAAAAGGTCATCCTCATCGCTCATTTCATCCTTATTGTCCGAATCAATGATATCATTATTCGGTTCCTCGGTGAAATCGGTCTCATTACCAATTTTCTTCGAGAAGTTCTCTTTAGCCAAAAGATTGTCCAATATTGTCTTCATCATGTTAAGCTCGTTCTCATTCACCTCATAAATGCCTATCTCCCGATCTTTAATCTCCCACTGTTCTTTCCGATTTCTTGTGGCTACCGGAGGCCCCGAATGCTGCTCACAATCACAAAAGTGGATTGGCAAGGAAGGAGCTTCAACCCGTTGAAAACTGTACTTATGTTTGCCGGTTCCTTTTAATGGTATCGGTTTTATCTTCAAAAGCAACAGATAGTGTCAGAATACATAACAAAGAAGCTCAGCCCCTTAAGAAAAACAGAATGTATTTTTGCAACAAACATTAAATAATATTCACCTTCCTTAACTTGGGAAAAAATAACTTGAGCTGCATTTTGTCAATATCTTGCAGTATTTTTGGTTTCTCAAGTGCCTTCGCACTCACATCTTCATCGGCATCCTGCCCGGATGATTTGCTCTTAAGTTCAGCTTCTTCTTCCCACTCACGTTGTAAGCGAGAAAGGTAGTGCTCTCTGGCCTTCTCGAGTTTAAGCCGCCCCCCTTTCCACACGCATCCATTATACTGCAGTTTACATATCCAATTAACGAACATTGTCAAAAATTAGCAACAGAAATGTACTCATTCACGTAACCAAAATTATGTACTCTCTTGAGGGTTATTAGTAATGTTTTGGAATTTGAAACTTCAATCGTCTATTGGTAACTCATAGCTGGGAATGGAACTGCTGAATTTTATAATGCAAATATAAAAGAACAATATGTAACAACCACAACGACAAGCATACTTATAAATAATTTCCAAACGTAAGGCGTAAGGATTGTTTGTTCTAATACTACATTTGTACGGTGTACTACATTATAGTCGGCACATAGATGAAATCGCCTAAAAAGAAAAACCTCACTGGTATACATACAGTAAGAATTCTTCGCTATATAAGCTGTACACTTGATGCTCACATATTATTCAGTGTGCTAAATCTCAAATCTAAAATTGGTTCATAATATTGATACTCACCCGTGCGATGCATTACATTCCATTTGAAACACGAAGAACAAGAGCTTTGTGATTTTATAGACCTCACCGACTAGGTCCACGAATTTGGTTAGAATGCAAAAGAAGAATGCCTAGTCAAAAGGAATGGATAAAGTTCTTCATCACAATCTCAACAACGATTAGCTTGCAATAGTACCTCATTTATTAGAACATTTACTTCCTTCGACTCTTTTTTGCGTTTTATTACTTCGTTCCTGTCAATCGACGAAAGAGATTGCTGTGTCCTAGAGAGTTTTGTATAGATTCTTTATTTTAGCACAGCAATCCTCACCCTAGACCTTATTACCGAAATTCCATCCCGGTTGTCTTCCCATTTTCCTCGTGGCGTTTTATCCAACAATCAAAAGAACATTTTGCACTATATGGGCTATGATCAATCAATCCTAATTAACCACTACCACCAGCAGACAACCCAATGGTGGACTTCGGCACAACACACTAATCCTCTAAACATTGTCCTCAAATTTTCCGTTTGAACCAACAATTGGAATAAATGCAAAACCTTGCCCGGATATATCCAGGATTAAGGTTTTTGGACGGGAAATTTTAAGAAAATGAAAGGGTAAACCTATGCAATTCTACATATGCATATCGAAGCATGGACCCTGTCCAAGAATTAATGAACAGCTTTCAGGGAACTCTTCTTTAAAAAAGTGACGAACTATTTATAGAAGAAGATGTGTTGCCCAAGCAACAAGCCAAGTAAAAATCACTGATGGCATTATGACTGTGACAAAGAACTTCATCCACTCCGACGACTAATCTTTCTTCTCTCCTCACTCTAACCAAATCAATAGAGTCGATCAATGAGATTTTCAATACACATTATGCAATGGAATCAAGTAAAACCTAAATCCAAACTCAAAAGTTTCTTATCCAAACAAACCATTCTCTTAAGCCAAAATCACAAAGTCAATGAAATTTCAATCTACATAGTTGTGAACATATTTCCTGAACAACAATGGATCCCGTATTATAAACTGAGCATTATATAAACCAAACCGCATCAATACATACACATACATTATATACACAGAGAGAGACAACGAAGAAGAATAAGAAATACCGTGCTGAAAAGCTTGGCGAGTCCTTTCTCCGAAGCAGGAACGAATTCCAAGTATCCAAAGCCCCGACCTTTGCTGCGAATAATTTCAACGGATTCCACCGTGCCTAGCTGAGATGAGGTGAACCTCTTCTTCAGATCGTCTTCCTGCACGCTCGATCCCAATCCCCCTATGTAAATCCTCATCTTCTAGCCAATTGAAATCGAACCTCTTCCACTGCACATTCAACTTCGCTATAAACCCTAATCCCCAAATAAGCACAGCGCTATTTTTAATTTGGGCAGGTTTGCTGAAGATAATAAAATGGGCCTTCATTAATGGGCCGGGTTGACCCGAATAGGCCCACGTTTTTAGTTCCCCACCTTTACTGCTCGAGCTCGACTCTTCCAATGTACACCGTGGTTTAGAAATTTCCCCAAATTAAAAACCCTAGAATCATGCCCCCAAGGAAAGAACTCTGCAGGAATTTTCAGCGTGGCAGGTACGAGTTCGTCGTTCTAGGGCTTCTTAATTTCGCATATATTTTCTGGAATGTAAGATTTTTTACACTGTTGGTTGGTGAAGTTTTATTTACTTTCGCATTGTGTGGCTCTTGCGAGACTTTTGATTTTGTCTATTTCCTTGCGATTGTCTGCTGAAGCGTTGATTATTGCAAGCTTGGTTCATAATTCATACGTTTCGTTCGCTCGGGAGATTAATTTGTCTGTAAGTCCAAGATCTTGAAATAAGAAAATAAACAAATAAATTTAACCTAATTCTTGGTAGGATTCTGATCTATACATTAATGGAGTGTTATGTGTTGTTAAAGCTTATAACTCAACCCCTTTTGAGAAAATCTCTTGAGTTATGCCGTTAGTATATGAAAAGTAGTGGAAGTTGTACTAATATGTTCAATAGTTAATTTATGATATGAAGCTACACAATTAAGCAAATGACGATTATTATCAACAAATAATATGGTAGTTTCGACCAATTTCGGATTTAGGAAGTGACTAAAACTTTATTTCTGAATGAATAATAATAGCCGAATTAGTAGAAATTGAAACCAAATTCCATCTAATAGACGGTACCACAAAAAAAAGTCTTATCCAAATCCAAATAATAACTATACTTAATAATACTTTGAAATTGTCAATGATTTCAACTTGAACTTTCTAGTTGTCATCCACGTAGATGTATCTTTCACCATCAATTGATATTCGTCAATAGAAACAATCTTTGCATAGACATACTGATTTCAGTTGTTGCACCCAAATCCACCACTCAAGTGTGTATGAACTAAATCATATTAATTTGAGAATAAACCAATGTAAGAAAAGTATGTTTTATCACACGCCATTTGTGATACTGATGAGTTGGAACTGAGAGCAAGACCAATAGGACCAATATTTCGTCCGAAAGTTCTAATTTAAGTGTCCTCAATTTAGTAGTAATATTAGACATATTTAGGATGTAATATTATGAGGTATAATGATAAAGGTAACATAAGATATTACATCCTAAATATGTCTTATATTATTGCTAAATTGAGGACAGTTAAGTTAAACCTTTCGGAGAACATATGGGTCCTTGGTCTTGCTCTCACTTCCGGCTCATTAGGCTCGTCCTGAGGAGAAGACTTGCTTCTTTTGCAAGAAGGTTGGACATGAGAAGGAGAACTGTTTTAAGTATCACGAATGATGTGTGATGAAATGTAATTTTCTTACTTTGGTTTGTTTTGAAATTAATATAGTTTAGTTCATAGACACACTTGAGGGGTGGATTTTGGTGCAACAACTCACCTTAATGTGTTTATGCAAGATTCTCTCTATTACTGAAAATCAATTGATGGTGTATAATACATATATGTGGGTGACGGCAAGAAAGTTCAAGCTGAAGTCATTGACAATTTTAGATTATTATTAAGTATAGTTATTATTTGTGTTTTGATGTTTTGTGTTATGAATGTTTTGAGGTGATAGTGGAGTTGAATGTCTTCTTGTAAATTGATAATAGATGTGATGATTATCATCAAGGGAAAATGGAAATACTGTCGATTAATGGCGAAATGGAAACAAAGACAAGTAAATGCAGTTCTTTGCTTTGCTTGATTTGAAGGTTAAACTGTAGAGAATTGATGATTTTTGTGGTAACTGTCTGCTTACAAAATTTATAAATACTGTCGGAAACCATGGACGAGGCTTTCCAGCCAATGTAGGGTTCATGATATTTGTGAACTTATATTTATCAGAGCTTTTGGAAATCTAGGGCAAGTGTAATTTGCATTGTGTACATTTCAAGACAAGTGGATAACCATTGCATCTTTTTATCGAACTAACTTTTGTTGTTCATAGCTAGTGCGTAGTCTGATATTGTACAAGGGTGGGGTTTTTTTGGCATCTACATGGCACTGGAATTAGAGCTGTTAAACAAATCAAAAAGTTCATGGCCAAACTCGAGTTCGAGAATTAATATTCATGTAAACAAGCCAAGCTCGAGTTAAAGCTCGGTTAGTAGGTAGTTCGATTGAGTTCATTAGTAATAGTATATTTGTATTATTTATAAAATAATACTATAATATATGTAATTTTTTGTATAAATTTACCATTAATGAAATTTATATATTTTATTATAATAAATTGTGAATAAAATTATATTTATTTAATTTATATTTTGAAAATATATAATATGTATGCAATTCGAGTCGAACTCAAGCTCGACTTCGCTTTGTGAGCTGAGATCGAGTTTTAAATCGAGCCTACCGAGCCACTATTTAAGCTCGAATTTTAAACAAGCCGAGTCGAGCTTGTATTGACAGTATGTTCAAATCGAGCTCGAACAACAAATACTGAAGTTTTCAAAAGCTTTAAATGGAATTGAAGAAAAATAAAATAGTAAAATAGGTATCCTTTCTTGATCTATTGCTACACTGTTGACAAACCAAGCTATCTAATACATATCTGGTTTGTAACAGTTGCCAGTATGGAGATCGATGTAAATTTCTTCATGCCACATCACAACAACCAAAAGGTAATCCTTTCGGATTTGGTGTGCAAAGTAGCAATCCGTTTCAACGAACACCTCAGCAGCAACAGATGCCCAATCCGTTCGGGTTTGGAGTTCAAAACAATGCTCAATCAAGAGGTGGCAATGAGTTTGGATCAAAACCAAATCAATTCAAGGTTTTTCCCGTGCTCCAATCTTGATCGTGGTTCGGATTATTCATGTACTTTTGCAGATACCATGTTATCTTGTGCATAGGATTCAAGGTTTTTTTTTTTCGTTTCTTTTTTTGTCTCCAGCCTTTCGAGAATAAATGGACACGGAATACCGGTAGTGGATTTGCTTCCCGGCCGTCTGACAAGCAGCCACAAGCTGCCGATCATAAGTAAGTCCATCACTGGTTTGATTTTTGTATGTTTCCATATCATCCTTCATGTATTTCTAAATCGTGTGGTAGTGAAGGATTTGTATTGATGACTGCGCAGGTGCACGGATCCCGATTCTTGCAAACGAATCATAGTCGAAGATCTTGAAAATGAGAAGCCCCTGTGGAAGCTTACTTGCTACGGTCATGATCGATAGTATGTGTTTGCTTCTCCCTACCGTTTGCATTAACCATTGATCGCAACAAGTAACATCAGTTATCTAATTTTGAAACTCGATTTTTCTGAATATTGACTTTGATTGCTAATGTGCACTTTTGATTTTCAGCGCTCCTTGTGACGTCGTTGGTGATATTAGCTGCGAAGAGTTGCGTGCATTAGCTTACGAGGATGCCAAGAATGGGAAAAGCTTGCAGTTCATTGTAAATCAATTTCTAATTATTTAGCTTACCATTTCAACTCTTAAAAGCATCGTTCATTCTTTCTTACATTATTCTTAGCACAATATTCAGAGTTTATTCTCGATAGGGATGGAGGCGACAAATAAATTCGTAGTAGTATTTAAGGTAACCATCATAGAGATGAAAATCGAGCGTTAAAAGTACCAAAACTTCCATCTTAGCAACTATAGCAACTAATGTGGAAACCAGTTCTTTGGGTTTGGATTTTGAATAGTAAAATTTTGAATTTGAATAGTTATTTCATGTGATATTTTTTAGTGTAAAATTAATTTTTAATGTAATATAAAATAAATAAGTATTTGATTTGATGTCAGGCAGGAATTTTTTTTTTATAAATAGTAGAAATCTAGCAAAATCTTTGAAACAAACACATACTTAGCTTCATTTTGGATTTATATTTAACATTTCATCAGTATATCAATTAAACGTTCGATAGCTTTTCCCAGAATGCCGTATTATTTTAGTAATTTTCTCTTCATTCTAATTCAGGATCTGATAATTTCATCGTAACCATTGATTGGATCTTATTGTTCAGATTGAAAGAGAGAGGAATCTGCTAGCTTCCAAGTTAGCTGAATTCCAGAACCTGCTACAGAAACCTTACGTCATTCCTACAATGGCTGCTCCCGCCGCTCAGAATCCATTTAGTGTCGCCAATTCAAGCACCCCTACAATCAACAGCGGCGTTCCTTCTTCAGTTTCAAGTTTTAGTCACGTGAATGCCTCCCTAAATACAAGGTCTTGAATCCGTAATCTCGTTCCATTACTTTTTCCTATAGCTGTTAAACAAACCGAGTAACTCGTGAGCCAAGTTAATTCGGCTCGTTAACAGTTCGACTCGATTCGTTTATAAAGATAAAAGAGTTGAGCTCGACCTCGAAATATTATTTCTATAAACGAGTCGAGCTCGAGCTCGGCTTGTAGGTAGCTCGATTAGGCTTGTTTGTGCTAATATATTAAGATAGTATATATAATTTTTAATATCAAAATTCGTATTTATAAAAATTAAATATAGATAATTTATCTATTAAAAAATATAGAATATGTATAAAATTCGAGCTGAACTCAGAGCTCAACTACTATTTTAACTCAAATTCTTAATGAGCAGAGCCAAGTCTGCACTGTTAACAAGTTTGAGTCGAGCTCGAACAAAAAATACTTGAACTCGCTCGCTCGGATTGTTTAATAGTTCTACTTTTTCCTTACATTCTGCCATGAATTCATTATCCTTTTATTTTTCATACTCTACAGCCCCGCCGCCGCCCCTAGTTACACCTTCGGTCAGCCAACTGCCCCCCAGAGTAATAACAGCAACAATCAGCCATTCAACATGTTCCAGGCGATGAATTCGTCGATCAACAATCCAGGTATCGTTTCAAACCATTTTTCTTTTACTTTCTTGTATACAACTGCATTCAATTTAACCCCGTATGTATATATATATATATATAAAGGAAAGTTCGGTAATCAACCTCCTCAACAACCCGTTCAAAATCCATTCTCCTTTGGCTCGGCCCGCGCCAACAACAGTGCTACAAGTAATCCCTTCTCGAATTTCGCCAATTCGTCGCAGACAGAGAAGATGTTCGACAAACCCTTTGACCTTTCCATTACGGGAACAAATTCAGCTTTAAATCCTGCCGGGAATTCTAGCATCAGTGCCGTGTCGCTGTAAGCTCTCTCTCTCTCATGAGTTCCTTAACAATTTTCTCTGTTCGCCATTTCCTGTCATTATTTTTGCTATCTTTAGTGTTCGAACTTTCCTTGCTCTTATATACTCGATTGATGTCTCGTGCTGTAGTAACACGCAAAATGAAAACCCGAACATCGATGCTGGGATTTGGGCAAAAGCTGAGTGGAAATGGAATGCCGGCGAGGTAAGATTTACTATAAATGTGATAAACATATTCAATTTCGTATTTACCTTAATACTCCCTCCGCCCTTTCTGTCTGTCTCAGATTCCATGTCACTTTCATTTCAATCTCAATTTAAACTTTTTAATTTTTTTTTTAATTTTAAACTAATTAGTTATCTTAATCTTAATTTATAATTATTTATATTTTAGGATAATTATTTTCACTAATACATTGTTAATTATATACTAATTACATCCCTCCTAAAATAACGTATCTACAATGTAACAGACACAATAGATGGGACAGAGGGAGTAAGATTTAAATACAATATTCTTGACGAAAAATATAATTTTAACCTTGTAAGTTGCATTCTTTTATCATTTTAGTCTAGTAAATAAGTTATCTAAAAAATGATATACTGCGCATGCAAGTATCATGATCATTAGCACGGCAATGACTAGGAGGATACATAACTATTTCTATATAAGATCCACTTAGGGTGTGTTTGTCTGAGCGTTTGAATCTTGAGTTGAGATTTGAATAGTAAAAATGAATGTAAAATTAAGTATAATATAATATATAAAATAAAAAATATGTATTTGATTTGATATTTTTTAAAGAAAAAAATAATTGGTAAATAGTAGAAATCTTGTAAATCTTTCAAATGTACACACCCTGGTGTTCTAAAATAACAAGTGATTGTTACTTAGATTAAAGTTGCATATTTATATTTTTTTACTTTTTGACATCTTTTTATGCGCATTTTTCTTCTTCGTGATATTTTAGATTCCCGAAGATCCGCCTCCGGATATCTATATCCGCTAGATCCCTCATTGCAGCCGAACTCCATCCATTATATTCACTTCAAAGTTTCCTTGACAACCGGCATTGTCCAAGCTCTTCTAGTGAACACTGGTATGTCTTCTTGTCGACTAAATTTATTTTTTCGAGCTTCCTTTGAGAGGTGGCCATTGTGAATTATATAGGGTGTGTTATTTTTCCTTTTTGCATTTTATTGTGATATTTTGTATAAAAAATTAATATTACTTCCGTTGTCTATTGTAGTATCATTTATCTTTTTGGGATTAAAAGATATTTTTAGTTAATTTTTTACACTCCGGTCGAACGTAATATCCTGTAAATTAGGTTCGACAAAGCAAGTCATATTAGGCGAATCATGTACGACAGGTTGAACTCATGACCTCACGGTCATTGGAAGTATTAGGGTTTGAGCCCATGATCTTACGGTCACAAGTTCATGACTATCAGGCCATCCTTACGGGACTTTTAGATATTCCTTACGGGACTTTTAGATTTTTTTACGAAGGGAGTGTGGTTTAATAGGAGCTAGGAAATTGCTGTGAAAAAAGACAATAATATTCCTTCCGTCACCAAAAATATATGTTCAAATATTTTTGTGCGAATTTTAATATGGTGTATAATTTTTTATTTTGTAAAAAATTAAAAAAAAAAGGTGCAATTTTTAATTAAAGTGGTAATTAAAAATATTGTAAAGATTTTTTTTTTATTATTATTATTTTTTTTTTTGTATAAAACGGAGATAGTTATAATATAGATATTTGAAATAAGTATTTTGTAATTAAATAATTCAAAATAAAAATATAATTTTTTTTTTTAGTGAATGGAGAAAGTATTATTTTTTTATTAATTTTATAATTTTTTTTAATTTTTATTTTTGCTATAAAAAAGGTAAACGTACACACTTGGTCATTGAAAGTTGAAACACGGGTTTAAACCAAATGAGTTTACTTATACATAACGAATGAATAATTTTTTATACACAAACAAAAAATATACTATATTAAACTTGAAAATTGATAGATTTGTGTCGGTTGAATATTTTAAATGAATAAAATTATTCAGTTATAACCCAAATGTTTATTATCGTGCTAGGTTCGTCGTGACATGTCTACATAATTAAGTTAAATTTTTTATCTAAACTCAATTATTTTGTGTAATGTTAGTTTTGTCAATTTTAGTATAATGTGTATTGTAAATTATGTTAGAATTGTCTAAAATTGAAGTTAATTTAAATTAATATTTAAGTTAATTATCAAATTAGAATTTTTTTACATATATAATAAATTAATTATATTTAATACTAATATATTACAATTAAATTGTCTATGGCGTTCGAGTTAAGGACATCAACCATAACCCAAGTTGTTTATTTGTATTGAGTTTCTGTTGATCCAGATACATAATTGAATCGAAATTTTTTTATTAAAACTCAATTATCTCATGTTGGGTGCCTTGTGATGGTATAAAAAATATCAAAGTGTCCTTTATGGTGAATTTGAAAATAAAATAAAATAAAATTTGTATTTTGTATTAAAATAATATTTGATAAAATATTTTATATAAAGAAAATACTCTTAAGTATAAAAAAGTGTAAATTTCACGGATAAAAAGAAATACAATATATATTTTTTTTCAAAAAATTGAAAAACGGAAATATACTCCCTTTCGTCCCATTGGAATGGTGATATTTGTTTTTTATGTATAGATTTTTTAATATTAGTATTATATTGGATTATAGTGAAAAAGACAAAAATATTCATATTAGTATGGTGTAATATAAAAGTAAACGACATTTGTATAATATATTATAAATTGAAAAAGTATTTATTACGTTAGATATGCAAACTAAAGTATAAAATAATAACTTTGTTTTGGACAAATTAAAATAGAAAATAGTACTCCCCTGTCCCATGTAATATGAGTGTATTACTGTAGACACGAAAATTTAGGTAAAGTATAATTAGTAAGTAATTAAGAAATGTATTAGTAAAAATAATTATTATTTAGTAAAAATAATTATAGATTAAAATTAAAATAAGTAAATAATTTAATTAAAATTAAAAAAATTATAAAATTTAAAATACAATTAAAGTGCATAATTATATTTTCAGAAATAAAAAAGACAAGTTAGATAGGAGGCCGGAAGGAGTAACTTTTTTTAAAAAAATTACGAAAAACACTCTACTATCTTGTCTGAAGAAATTTATGAGGTGGGTCCCTTTTCTTTCATTTACTATTATTTCTTACACCTTTGTATCTGTCCATCTCTTTGCATTTATTACGTCACATAATTGCAAAAACAACTTCAATTGCATTTATAATTATCAATTTAATCCCTCTAAAAGGATATAATTACTTTCCGATGCCGTTATTTTTAAAATTTGCGAAATTAGCCTCTGGACTAATAAATTTTTGGTCCAGAAAAAAAATAATTTAAAATTTAAAAATTAACAAAAATAAAAATAAGATCACTTGTCACCCTAGTTGCGCTGACTAAATCACCGTCAAATCAGTATCGACGAATCTATTTGACGATAACATAGCGATTCAAATGACGAATGATTTATCAAATTTTTTGAGTTAAAGGACTAAACATATAAAAACTATTGTAGTAAAATAATAAGAAACAATCAAATACATAAGTTTAAAAAAAAAAAAAAATTATTCTATTTATAATTTTTTTTTTTTTGATATTTTTGTTATTTGATTTTATATATAAATTAATTGTATATGTAATTGTACATTTGTAATTTAAGTAAAATTAAGAATATATTAGTATTAATGTATATCTACTTTTATTAAAATATAACAAAAATAATTTTTAATAAGACAAACAAAAGTAGTAAAAATATTAGTTTAAATTTGGACAAACTTGTACTCCCTCCGTCTTACATAATTTGTCCATATTTTCTATTTTCTGGAAAATTAATTATACACTTTAATTATATGTTAAAATTTAAAATTTAAATTTTTTAGATCTTAATTAAACTATTTAGTTATCTTAATCTATAATTATTTTTGCTAAATAATAATTATTTTTACTAATACATTTCTTAATTACTTACTAATTATATTTTACCTAAATTCCCGTATCTACGGTAATACACCCATATATTTTATATATATATATGTATGTATAAATATTACACATATATGTATGTATAAATATTACAATACTTTATATATGTATGTATAAATATATATGTATGTATATATGTATGTATAAATATTACAATACTTTATATTTTTTTGGGATGCAATATATTTAAATACAAAGCTAATATGTAAAGAATTATTATAATGAAGACTTATTATTGTTGCTTGTTTTAAAAGGGAAAATATACTCTTAAATTCAGGACATTATGATTGCTCCTACATATTTCCTTTACTCACGACATCAAAGGCTTTGTTTGATTTTAATTTTGATAGTATTTCATAATTTTTAATAAAAATTATTATTTTTATTTTATTTATGATTTGAATTATAAAATTTGAATTAAAACAATTATTTAATATTATATGAATAAATTTTAATGTGATAGTTGATTGAAAAATTAATTTTCACTACAAAACAAAAATACGTAGTTGATTTGATATTTTTAGAATTCTGCAATAAATATTGAAAATCAAGAGTGTGTTTTTTATTTTGAGTTTGAGGGTTTTTTTTTTTATTATTATTTATGAAGATAAAATAAAATGTGTCAATTATATAAATATTTTATATTGATTTTTTTAAGTTTTATGAATATATATAATATATTATATCAATATATATTTTTATATTTTTTAATAATATTAATCGAAAAGTGTATATACATATAAAGTGTTCAATAAACACACCCCAAACCGTATTATTTATCCAATCCTTCTATTAAATTTATGTTTGTCTTCTACAAATATACTTTTCATTCAAAACAAATACTCCTCCGTCCCTTAAAAATCTATCAATTTTTTTATTTTGATCCGTCCCATAATAAAATATCCGTTTCCTTTTTTTAGTAATTGTACTATCTACCTAACATTACAAATACCCTTCTAATTTACAATATATTACACAAATGTCATTACTTTTATATTATACAATATTAATAGGGTTAATTTAGTCATTTTACCTTTATTTCTACTTTATCCTAATATAATACTAATATTTCAAAAAGCAAATGAATAGATACATTGGGGATTTAACAATATTTTATTTATTCACATATATGCCACTAATATTAACGAATTTAATCTATCATTTTTTTTATTTATTTTTTATATCTCATTAATTCATTGGTATAATTTTTAAAATACGTTTATTTTGTAACATAATTAATTAATATAATGTTATATTTATTAAAATTCATATAAACATAATATTCGGATGAAGAGTGTATTATTTATGTAAAATACTTCCTTCGTCCTACATAAGATAAGATGGATGCATTACTGTAATATGAACAGACGAAAATTATAAAATAAGAACAAATAATGTGCATGAGGAAAGTAATAATAATAATAATAATAATAACATTATTGTCGGAAAGAGTTATTTTAAAATCTCATAAAAATAGAAGCATGGAGAATGAATAAATTGTGACAAGTGGCCAGCGAAGTATTAATTGTATGGTACCGTAGACTGACAGACCAAACCGTATTATTATTATTATTATTATTATTATTATTAATTTTATTTTTATTTATTTATTATTATTATTTTGTTTGCTGGACTCTGTACCTTCACTCCTCTCTGTTTCTCTTTCAAATTTTCCCTAATTCCGCCCAAATTTCCATGCCTGCGAACTCACCGCCATTGCCGCCGCCGTCACGCCGGCGGCGGTGCTCGACGTTCTACACAACACTCATTATCTCCGCCGTCGCTTTCCAGATCTTCTTCAATGCTGCAGCAGGCGAACACAACATTGAAATCCACAGCATTGAAAGCGACGCCGATCGGTTAAGCTTCGAAAACCCTAACCTCCGCCAAGCCTACGTCGCCTTGCAAGCGTGGAAGCACGCGATTATCTCCGATCCGTTCAATTTCACGGCGAACTGGAGAGGCACCGGCGTTTGTTCGTACAGAGGAGTTTTCTGCGCCGCGTCGCTGTTCAATGCGTCTCTTAGAGTCGTCGCCGGAATAGACCTCAACCACGCGGATATCGCCGGGTACTTGCCGGATGAGCTCGGTTTACTCACTGATTTAGCTCTGTTTCATGTTAATTCGAACAGGTTTTGTGGCGTTGTTCCTCAGAGCTTCGAGAGATTGAAGCTTCTGTTCGAGCTTGATTTGAGTAACAATCGGTTCGCCGGAGGCTTCCCCGACGTTGTGCTCTCTTTGCCTTCTCTGAAATTTTTGGATCTTCGGTTTAATGATTTTGAAGGCGGCGTTCCGAGGAATGTTTTCGAGAAAAATTTGGATGCTCTGTTTCTGAATGATAACAGATTCAGATTTGGAATACCGGAGAACGTCGGAAACTCGCCGGTTTCCGTACTTGTTCTGGCCAACAATAACCTCGGCGGCTGTATTCCGGCGAGCATTGGGAAGATGGCGAAGACTTTGAATGAGCTCATTTTGCTTAATGATAATTTGACTGGTTGTTTGCCGCCGGAGATTGGGCGGCTGAATAGACTGACGGTGTTGGATTTGAGCTTTAATAATTTGCAGGGGCCGCTGCCGGCGGAGCTCCGCCGTATGCGGAGTTTGGAGCAGCTGAATGTGGCGCATAACCGCCTGACGGGGGAGGTTCCGGCGAGGGTTTGTTTGTTGCCGCGGCTTCAGAATTTTAGTTATTCGTACAATTATTTCACCGGAGAGGCGCCGGAGTGCGTTAGATTCGGCGGTGGCGGTGGTGGTAGGGTTTATGACGGCCGGCGGAATTGTATTCCGAATAAAAGTGACCAAAGGTCTCCTGGAGAGTGCTCTTCTGATGCTGCTAAGCCTTTTGACTGCCGTAAGTCTAAATGCGTCGGCGGAGGTGGTGGTGGCGGTGGCGGTGGCGGCGGAGGTGGAGGTGGAGGTGGTGGTGGCGGTGGCGGCGGTGGTGGCGGTTTTTCGCCTAAACCGCCTTCGCCGAAGCATTCTGGTAGGCACGTGCCTACACCGAGGCCGGTTCCTCCGTCGCCAAAATCTCACGCGCCACCACCGCCGCCGACACACAGTGTCTCTCCAGGGACACGTCTTCCGCCACCGCCGCCTCCGCTACACTCGCCGTCGTCTCCGCCGAGTGTTCATCCAACGCCGCCACTGTCTCCGCCGTCTACTCATCCATCACCGTCACATCCTCCAGGAACAACGCCGTCGCCGCCGTACGCTCAACCGTCGCCGCCTATTCCACCACCAGGAACCACACTATCGCCGCCGCACCTTCCACCGGGAACCACGCCATCACCGCCGCACCTTCCACCGGGAACCACGCCATCACCGCCGTACACTCATCCGTCGCCGCCACACCTTCCACCTGGAACCACGCCATCGCCGCCGTACACTCAGCCGTCGCCGCCGCACCTTCCACCAGGAGCCACGCCATCGCCGCCGTATGCTCATCCATCGCCGCCACAATCTCCACCAGGAACCTCGCCATCGCCGCCGTATCACCATCCGCCACCTCAATCTCCACCAGGAAGTACGCCATCGCCGCCGTATCACCATCCTCCACCGGAACACGCTCCCTCACCCTCGCCGCCACTTCCACCGTATCTCCATCCATCGCCGCCACCTCCGCCACCGCCGGCGCACATACCCCTGCCCCCAATCACCGGCGTTCCGTACGCATCTCCGCCGCCCCCTCCGATTCCATATTACTAGTCAAATCATCTACCACGCCAATCCCCTTTTCCCCCATAAATCACAGGCAATGATTTCTTATGATGTTCTGTGATTTAATTAATACTACTCTGTATTATTATTATTATTATTATTAATTATGTTTCATTTCTTGTTCAATCCCTATCCCCTTATCCTAATCTTCTTAGGCTTGTTTATTTATTCCCTCGTCAGACGCTGTAGACTCTGTAATTTAGGATGGGTATAATTAGTAAATAATTAAAAATATATTAGTGAAATTAATTAATTTATAATATAAATTATTATAAATTAAGATTAAAATAAAATTAAAAAAAAAGTTAAAATTTAAAAATTTAAAATGAGATTAAGATGCATAATTATTTTTTAAAAAAAAAGTGACATGAGATGTAGAACGGATAAAAATGACAACGTGAACATACTAAGTGGGACATAGGAGTATTTACTTAAAACCATCATCATGCATGATGGGCCTCGTCATGGGTGGGTCATCATATTGGGTTTTGTCATGGGCACCATTACATTGGGTTGCTCATGTTGTCATAAATTAGACTTGATCCGCCTAGCAAAAAATTGTGTTTGTTTGTGGGTTTTAGGGTCTGTTTGTTTGGGTAAAAATACTTGCAAACACTCCCAAACCAACCGTTGCTACTACTGCAGGACAATTTGCTGCATTCATTTTTGTTTTTTTTTTTTTTTTAATATAATTTTTTAAAATATTATATTTATTTAATATTTATAGTAATTATAGGGTAAAAAAATATATACAATATATATGTTATTTTGTAGAAAATAAAATTTTCTATAATACAAATAAATAAAAATTTAAATATAGATATGTTGGATATAATATAAATTTATAATCAAATCATAGAAAATAAATTTTATCAATTAAATTTAATACACATTTATATTATTTTATTCATTATCTATCAAATTAATACACATCAAAACTCTCCAACCAAACCCAAACACAAAAAAACAACAAAATCCAAACCCATCCCAAAATTCAAATAAAAACCAAACTCAAACCCAACTTTCCCCAAACTCCTCTAAAGAAACACACCCTTAGTTTTTGAGTTTGAATTTTTTGAATAGTAAAATATATGAATTCGAATAATAAGTTGATGTGATATAAACAGATGTTGATCTGATATTTTAAATTTAAAATAAATTTATAATATAATATAAAAAAAATAATTAACATAACCATAGGTTGTTGCTTGAGCCACCATTCGAACAAAATTAGACGTTTCCTATAAAAAAAAAAGTTTAATTGTAAAACTATTTTCTTACATGGTTCCATTATAATCCATTGTATCTCCATCTATCCTTTATCAAAAATTTTTAGATTCAGCGCAGAAGGTTTACCAAAAAGAGTAACGAGTGTAGGCCCACATCATTAAAAAAAAAAAACTCATTTGGTTGCTTGAGCCCACTTGGCCTATAGGAGAAACTCGGCCCACCCAAATCAATCATTTACCAAATCTCTACTTTCTAATCATGACTTATAGAATACACACTACTTACTTTCCGGAAGAAGTGCACGCAAATTTTTTAATATTAGTATTATATTAATTTATAGTAAAAAAGACAAAAATATCCTTATTAAATTGTGTGATATAAAAGTAATGACATTTGTATAATATGTTGAAAGTTGTAAGTGTATTAATTATATTAAATAAGTAGTATAATTATTAAATAAAAAATAATATCCTTATTTTGGGACGAATAAAAATAAAAAAATACTATCCGGAGAGAGTACAACTGTTCTGCAAATAAATTGCCTCCATTGCCTGATGTGTTGCCATATCCATTAAAATAATAATAATTATTATTATAATAAAATAAAAATACAAAATCGCACTTGAAGATGACCGAACATCTACAAATTATTCCCTGTATATGCTCATAAAACCGTAGAATGGCCTAATGGTGTAAGGATAGATTCGTAATCGTAACTTTCAGGTTTTGTCTTACGTATGATTTGCCTAATGTAACTTCATGTTGATAACACAATTAATTAACATACTATTAATTAGCTAATCTCTAAGTTAATTATTCACAAAGCCAAGCCATTGTTTCTAGCCCAATTTCATTTAGTCCATTTTTAATGATTTTCAAGCCTAGTTAATTGATAACACAATTAATTAATTATTTTATTTCAATCCATTATATTTTAATCACCAAAAATCAATTTCGAAAAATTACAAGATTTAAAATTTCATCGATTAATTAACAATAGCAAATTTATAATGACAACATTGTCCCTCCGGTCACCCAATTCTTACAACTACATCTCCATCATCGATTTGTAGCTAGATACCACCAAGACCGAGGTATCAAAAAATTTTCTCGCAGTCGAACATGTAAATTTACAGAAATTTTGATGGAATTTCAGTTTTGATTTTGAAAATTATATAGAAATTATTTAAAGTATTTGAAAATTTTAAATAAAATTTAGATATTTCATTCTTATATTTTACACATTTATAAGTAAAAAATAATTGATATATAATTTACAAAAAGAAACAAATTACTCCCTCCGTCCCACATAACTTGTCATTTCTAATTTTGAAAATATAATTATGTACTTTAATCGCATTTTAAATTTTAAATTTTATAATTTTCTTAATTTTAATTAAACTATTTATTTATCTTAATCTTAATCTATAATTATTTTTACTAATACACTTCTTAATTACTTACTAATTATACTTTACCTAAATTCACGTGTTACAGTAATACACTCATATTATATGAGACGGAGGGAGTATTATTTATATAGTAGACATTCAAATAGAATAATAAACTTTAATAATGATTTAACTCGACTAAAAATTTTATAATTAAATTCATACTTTTTTTTATTATTATTATTTATATGTCTACCATAGAGTTTCTGAAAAAATAACATGTAAAGAAAGAAATATCGTCGAATTAGGCCATCAACAACAAAGAAAGACTTCTCAAACTTCGTATTATTATTTTGGCTTGAAATTGAATTCAAATTGAACTATTTTTCACATTTGTAATTAATAGTATTTATTTTCTACATCATTTTTTAATTAAAATTTCATTTTTATTTGTATTAAAAATTATATTTCACACCAGCAAAACAATATATACTACGGTTATATTGAAATAATTCAAAATTTAAATTCCCAAACAAATTCTTCCTACAAATAGATATATAAATATATATATATATATGTAATATTAATGAATAATTAAGAAGAGTGACATGCAGTGACGGAACCAGCAGTAGAAGTCCGAGGGGCTAAAATCGATTTTTCTTTTTTATCGATTCAATGTTGTTATTTTTTATTATTCCTAGTACATCTTGGTAAAAAAATTGAAAAATTTAAATGTTTTAGAAAAAATTTCAATGAAATTACGTAAAATTTAATACTTTTTTTAATAATAATAATAAAAAAATTTAAATACTAAAAGTATAAATTAACAAACGGATAAATTTTTTGCTTTTTTATATTACAAAATAAAGAAAATTAAAAAAAGCAAATTACTGTAAAATATATTATTTTATTATTTTTTAAATAAAAAATACATATATTTTGAAGGTTGAAATTGACCACCCCAGGCCACGTAGTTCTGCCCTTTGTGACATGTAACCTGTATACAACCTAAAGTGTTAGGTGTAAATATATGATCATTAGAAAAACGACAATAATTAGTGAAAGATAAAAAAAAAATATTTCTTTATAAAATCTATTTAGATAATATAAAAAAAAAAAACAATAAAAGTACGTATAAATGGTACTTTCTATCATAATTAATGGTATTTTAATAGATTTGATATGAAAATGATTCTAGCGTACATTTTAATTTATTTATCGTCCTATATATAATTAATATGTGGAAATGATTTCGATACATACAATTTTTATTTTTATTTTTTAAGTAGATTAAAAAATAAAAATATTTTATTGATTAATTGAAGTGTATAATACTGTATGTTTGATCTTTTGTATTTTGTACTTTTATGTATAAGTAATGATATACTCCATTCGTCTTATAAATATAGTCTTAATTGGGTTGAGCACGAGATTTAAGGAATATTGATATTATATTGATAGTTGGTAAAAAGTATGGTTAAAATATATTTTTGTCCTTGTGAGTGTATTAATGTAAAAGGTAGTGACAATTGTGTAATAAAAATAAAAAAATATGGATAGTTTTATAGTGATATAGTTATTTATGAAAATAAGACTATTGTTTTTGGACGGACAAAAATGGTAAATAAGACTATTGTATCGGGACGGAAAGAATATTTGTAATATGCAAAGTTAAAGAGTGTTTTATTATTATTATTATATGATTATTTTTACTATAATAGAAAAGTGACACTTTTGAGTTAGACAAACGAAAATAGTAAAAATAATAGTATTTTTAATTGTGACGGAGGAAGTACCGTATATACGGATACAGATATACATACTTAACATAAAAAAACACTTATGTGTATGTTCTTTTATCAAATTTTTTCTCTTTAAAAATATCAAATCAAATATATCTTTTTTATTTTATATATTATAATAAAAATAAATTTTACATTCAAAATATCACATCAACACCTATTTATATTACATCGTAAAATTATTTCAATTCAAATTTTTTACTATTCAAATCTCGAACTCAAAATTCAAACCCTCAAACAAACACACTTTAGTTTGAATTTAGAAATTTTGAATTAAACTTTATATTTAAATAATATTTGATGTGATATTTGTGAAATGACAAAAATATAATTTTTTTTTGAAAAATATTACTTCCTCCGTCCCAATATGATAATCTTTTTTTCATAAATAACTATATCACTATAAAACTATCCCTATTTTTTCATTATTATTACACAATTGCCACTACTTTTTACGTTAATATACTCACAAAGGCAAAAAAAGTCATTTGTCCATATTTTTTACCAACCACCAATATAATATCAATATTTTTTAAATCTCATATTCAACGTAATAAGACTATACTTTTGGGACATAGGGAGCAGTAATTAAGCTTTGGAAACTAAACCTACCTTAACTTGTGGCCTTTTGACAAGATTTGCACTATTGATTAATATTTTAAAAAAGAAAAATTAAATCTAATTTTTATTATTTTTTTTAATGTTATATTAAAAATTAATTTATATTCAAAGTATTATTACTATAATTATTTATTTATATCATATCAAATAATTATTTATATTCTAATTTTTCAAACACACTCATGTTTACCTAATTAAAGTTTGTTAGGATTCTGTGTTATTTTTAATACCTGCCGAATATTTCCTATTACGTATAATATAATTGACTATATTATAAAAACAATATCCTAATTTATAAATCCTGAATTATGATACTTCATCCGTTCACCGCCTATCTATCCATTTACTTTTTACACGTAAATTTTAGTATATTAGTATTATTTTGATATGTGGTACAATTGATATACATAAAGACTATTATACCCCTTAACATTTATGGTATTAAGTAGTGTTATTTAATAACATTTGTGTAATATTATATAAAGGGTGAGATAATTTTATATTTTAGTGGAAGATACATTTACTTAAAAAAAAAAATGAATACATTTGTGATGAACAGACTAAAATGACAAAATTGATAGATTGACGGTGGACGAATAGAGTATATATATATATATATATATAAACACAACCAAACACGCTATCATTATCTATAAAATAAATACAAATTGTTGACAATGTTTAGGGAGTTAGTCCCCTAACCATACACTTTGCTAATTGAAATTAGGTTCCATTAAATGTTATACCTAAGTATTTAGGCTATTAAGCTTTTTAAGTTTTCAATTTTATTTTTTTATTATTATTATTATTTATAATAGTGAAAAATTAAATATCTAATGTGATATTCTATCAGAGAAAACAATAATTTAAGATAATAACTTTTTTTAAAAAAAATAAAAATAAAAATTATTGTTACGAATAATATCAAAATTTTCAAATGTATCATGTCAACTCAGCAATAATTTTGTATTATTTATTTTAAAAAATATTCTTATAAATTGAAAAATTACCATTTTTCATAACAAGGTTATCATTTCCTAATTTAGTAATTATATTATCTACTTAACATAATAAATACTCGTTCAATTTAAAATATATTACACAAATGCCATTATTTTTATATTACACCGTACTAATAGGAGTATTTTTGTCTTTTTTACTACAATCCAATATAATACTAATATTAAAAAATCTGCGTCCAAAAAAACAAACGCCACCCTTTCAACAATAGAATGGAGGGAGTATTCAAAATATCTTTTGTCATTACATGTTGCTAAAATCATATATATACAATTAAAGTAAATCAAAAGCTATGGTTGACTTTATATATAATTTTTTAGTCCTTTTTTAAAAATTCTTTAGGTATCCTAATAAATTTTAGAGATCGGCCAAATGGCCCTTTAATGAAAGGCAAACAATCTTTTTTTTATTTTTTATTTTTTATTTTTTTATAAAAATATACTCCCTTCCCTTCGTTCCGCAACAAGGGTGGCGTTTACTTTTTACAAGTAGATTTTTGAATATTAGTATTATATTGGATTGTAGTAAAAAAAGACAAAAATACCCCTAATAGTATGGTGTAATATAAAAGTAATGACATTTGTATAATATATTGTAAGTTGAAAGGGTATTTATTATGTGAAGTAGGTAGTACAATTATTAAATTAGGAAATGGTAACCTTGTTTTGGGACGGACGAAAATAAAAAATGATAACCTTTCAATGGGACGGGGAGTATTATTTTTATTTACAAAACACTATTTTTAAATTACTGTTCAACTATTAATAGAAGGTTCATTCGAATTTTCCATTCAGACAAATACAAAATTTTAGTTTTTAATCCAATCAGAACTAAAATGTCTGAAATTTGTGATATAAAATCCAAATTAGAAAAGAAATCCAAAATAACATAATATATTTTTAAATCCAAATATTTGATAATTTATATTTCTTTCTAATTTTTATTTAAATATTAAATATATAAAATGATAAAATATATTAGTATATAATTATGAATTTTATACTTTTATTAAAATATTAATATATAGTAAAATATATTACTATATGTTATATTTCGGATTTCAAATTGATTTAGATTTTATTATATCAATTTAAAATTTATAAAAAAAAATTAATTCAAACAAATTTGAAAATACGAACAAAATTTTAAACTTTGATTCGATTCGGATCGAAGTTCTAATGTCAGATATTTTGCTCAACCCTATACTACAATGTATCACACAATTTGTTAGGGTAGGGATATTGAATGTACTTTGTTTTCTTATATAAAAATAATTTTAAATATGATATTTTATATGAAAAATAAATGTTAATAATTAGTGAGATTAAAATAAGTATAAAAAATAAAAATATTTTGATTTTTAATTGAAAGATATTTTTAATTTGAAACAGACAAAAATAAAAAAAATACATATTTTTTACTTGAACGGAAAAAAATAAATATTTTTCTACATGAGATATATATGGGATAAATAGTACTCGCTCGTTCCATTATATGGGACAAAAGGTATATAATTAGAGATAAAATGCAAATTAACACCCAAACAACAATTTTACTACATCCGACACCTCATAAAATAATACTCCCTCCGTCTCAGATACCGTGTCTGCTACACTGTAGACACAGTATTTTAGGAGGGGTGTAATGAGTAGATAATTAAGAATGTATTAGTGAAAATAATTATCCTATAATATAATTAATTATAAATTAAGATTAAGATAACTAATTGGTTTAATTAAAATTAAAAAAGAAAAAAATTTAAAAATTTAAAATGAGATTAAAGTGTGTAATCATCCAAAAAAAGAAAGTGACATGGTATGTGGGACGGACAGAAACGACAACGTGGACATGATATTTGAGACAGAGGGAATAGTTTATTTTCACATGAGATATAAGAAAATATTTAATTTTAATAATAGTTGGTAGTACTTTTTGTATGAAAAAAAATATTAGACTTGTGTTTAAATTTAAATTAATAATATCGATATAAATACATGTAAGATTGAAAATATTTGTAATGTGCATTATAAGAAATTATCAATTTTGTAACGAAATTTTTTCGTTTCTAAATTCACTTTTTCTGTTACTAATGATACTAGAGACGGAATTAAAGATGAAATTATACTATTTTTTTTTTTTTTTTTTTTTTGTAGTGGTGTTATCAAAGGTGTATACTTATTAGAAAGGAAAATATATATCTTGTGTGTGAACGATCAAAATAAAAAAAAATAGTTAGCTTTCACGTGAACGAATGTAATATATTTATGATTGCAACTATATTTTTATATTTTCTCCATCCGTCAAATTTATTTTTAATTTTTTTTTTTAAGTTTGTCCATTAAATTTATCCTATTACTAATTTTGGCAAATTCAACAAATCAACATTTAATTATTACCCTTAATTCAACACTTATTTACAACAAATACCACTAACTTTACTACATTATCTCTTCATTTACTTTATTTTTTAACTAAATTTTTAAAAATACCATCAACTACCTATCACTTTTTCAATGAAATATTTATTTTTTCTTAATTTCCGTGCCGAGCCCAAATGAGTTAATTTGAATGGACGGAGAGAGTACTATTTAGCGAATTTTTTTCTAAAATATTACATATGTTAATTATTTTCATTGAAACTATTACATCATGTTACATACTTATTCTTTATTCATTTATTATTATTATTATTATTAATTTTTAAAATTTTACAAAACTAGGGTCTGTTTAGTTTTGACTTGAAATTTAATTTTATTTATTTATTTGCAAATTAATTTAAATAGTATTTTTTAATGTAATTATTTATAAAAATAATAGTATTCCATTCCTGTAATTTATATATATTTTAGTTTGATATAAAAAACAAACATACCCAAAACATTTCTAAAAAATATCTAAACATGCAAATTTCACTAGGAAATAAAATATATTTGAGTAAAAGGCATCTTTATAGGGAAAAAAAAAAATTAAAAATAGAAGAAATAAAGTATGTTTGGTCGTGATCTCTATTTGAAATTACCGTTATTTATTTTGTATGACTTTTAGTAAAAATATATAATTTTTTTAAAAAATATATTAAATTAAGATATTATTTAAATAAATATTCAAATATTATTTGTATCTTAAATGACATATTTATCATCAACACCTCATATATATGTACTTCGAAAATAGTGTGTTATATAATATTCCCTTCGTCCCGTAACTAGATATCTATTTGTTTTTTGCACGTATGTAGTAAAAATAAAGTATAAATGACTAAAATAACCTTATTAGTATATGTGCTATAAAAGTAATGACATTTGTGTAATATATTGTAAGTTGTAAGGGTATTTGTAATGTTACGTAGATAGTACATTTAATGAATACTTTGTTACGAGACAGACCAAAATAGAAAAATAGATACTTTGTTATGGAATAGAGGAACTACAAACTTATTCATTCATTATTTGAGTACATAGATATTAACTAAATTTTAGATACAAATATGTGTGATTTTAAAGTCGGGTTTATGATTTTGAATAATAAAATTAATTTTCAGTATAATATAAAAAATAAAAATTTAATTTAACAGAAAAATTAGTAAATAATAAAGTACGATTTGGAAACTCGCAAACATATCGAACATAATATCATATCATTTATATCTTCATTTAATTTTAGGGTGGCTAATTAACAAAATACATCTATATGCTACTTATACTATTCGAAGCTCTATTTATACTATTTCAAGATCATTATTGATAAATTAATTAGAAAATTTTATTTATTTGTAATTTGGTGTGCTACGACATTTTATATGAATAATAGTAATTGAAAAAATAAATAAATTGTGTATAATATATTAAGTACAAGATAAGTATATAATGTACTTTTTTTTTTTTTGTAGAAAATAAAGTATTACATATACATAGTGAAATATTATGATTTCAAATAAAAATTAATATTTTTATTTTATATAATTTTCAATAAAAATATATATTTTTTCTCTTACAAACTATAATATCAAAATACTATTTAAATAAAAATTCAAATCAAACGCTTATTTCAAATTAATTTCAACTAGCAATGTGAAATGTCTTATAACTTCAATCTTTATTATTTCAAAATAGTCATATACTTCATTGGATTGTGTTTAATGCACATATAGGTATTATTGGAATTTAAAAAATAAAATGAAAATGAAACTTCCTATGTAAATAGTAAAAAATCTGGTATATTAATATTGGGTAGACAACTTATCCGTACAGGTAAAGAATCCTACAAAAAAAAAAAAAAAAAAAAAATACTACAAATGCAAATACTGCAATAATAATGTGTGTATTTATATAAATATATATTATCCCTCCGTCTCCGAACTATAGTCTTGGTTGTATTGAACACGAAATTTAAGAAATATTGATATTATATTCATAGTGGATAAAAAGTATATATAAAAGACATTTTTGCCCTTGGAGTGTATTAGTGTAAAAGGTAGTGCAATTGTGTAATAATAATGAAATAGCAATGGTAGTTTTATAGTGATATGATTATTTATGAAAATAAGACTATTGTTTTGAGACGGACAAAAATAGTAAACAAGATTATTATATTAGGACGAAAGAAGTATTTTTATTTTTATTTTTTTCAGTTTCTTCAGATAAAACAGAAAAAGAAAAAAAATGGATACAAATGAAATATTTAGAGAAAAAGTTAATAAAACTACATAAAACTTAATATTATTTATTTAAAAAATTGAAAAAGAACAGAAGTATAATAAATAAATAAAATTACAAAAATTTTAGTATTAATTTTCTACACTAAAAAGTAAAAAATTGGTGGGTAAATTAATACAAAATGCATAAACATTTAAAATTATTTTTAAAGAACGGACACGTGCCTTGCTCGCGAATGTTAAGGAACGAAAACAAAAATTTATAATTATGTTCGATTTGACTCGTTAATAGTTATATAATGTGGACCCTTTTGTGATTTGATCAAATTAGCATGATTTCGATTTGATTCAATTATCATATATATATATATACTAATAAAAGTAAATAATATATGCTTCTATACAACACAATTTATGTTGTGTTATAACAGAGTATATATTATATTATAACACAACATATATATATATTATGTTATATATAATATATTAGTGTGTAACATCTGCTATGTACGAGTTACTTTTAATATTAAATTATATGTTGATTTAATATATTTTTTGTTTGAATTTTTTTTTTTGTGATTTTTTTTCAAATCAAAATATTTAATATATAAACATAATATACACAACTAAAAAAATATCACAATATAATATTCGAAATTATAATATTTTTTCAGAAAAAAAATACATGCATTTTGGCAATCTTTTTTTTCATATTTTTTATTTTTTTCTACACAATGGCATGGATATTAGAATTATCAGTATAAACTAAAAAAATATATAACAATAAGAATAATAAAATCAATATAATATGATAGTAAATTTATGCATAATTAAGTTTAGAATTTTAAAAATTAAACAAAAATAAATTTATTGTAAGAATTTCATTATATATTAATTAAAAAATGTAATCCACTTGTAAGAGTACGATGAATGATAATAAATTATATTCACAAATAAAAAGTGAAAGAGATACAATAAACTTTAACTTGATAAATATTTCAGGATAAATTAGAAAAAAAAAAATTCACGGGTCAACACCAAAGAAAAAAAATCTATTATGATCAAATTGTATATAAGAGCTATGTAAGAGTGCATGTAAACATGTCATGATCATGAAAATTAAAGAAAAATAAAAATAAAAATAAAAAAATCCTAAAAATAGATCACGTTCCGTAAAATTTTAATCAAATTACAATAATCTGATCGCATATTCCACAGTTGGATTGAAAGAACAATGAATCACGAACATTAACTAAATTTTCAGCTTGATCTGATATATAGTTATAGAAGCGGAAATCAATATTTTTGCAAACTTATACAGTCTTGAGCGAAAATTACTTTCACAGGTTTTGGTTTGACTATATTATAAAACAAACCCTAATTTTATCTGTATTTATTTTCTCTAACACATTTATATTTGACTATAGCAACAACATATATTAATTTTATCCAAAATAATTTTCTTTAAAAAAATAAAACTTTACAAATTTTATATAATACATGATACGATACGATATGCTACTATTGTCTATCTTTATTATATATTTTAATCGGGTCAATCCGCCACCTTACTATAAATATATGCATTTCAAAGGTAATTATACACATCACCACCGGAGATGGATCAAACTTTCACCGGCGCCGCCGCCGCCGTCGAAACCCCGATTTCTGACGAACTTTCGCCGTTGGTCGGGGCGCTAAAAGCCTCGGCCAACCGAAACTCCGTCCCATTCCACTTCCCCGGCCACAAGCGCGGCCAGGCCGCCCCGCCGGAGCTGGCCGGCCTAATCGGAAACGAGGTGTTCCGCCACGACGCCACCGAATTGCCGGATCTCGACACGTTTTTCGCGCCGAAGGGGCCGTTGCTCAAAGCCCGGAAACTGGCAGCCGAGCTGTTCGGAGCGAAGGAGACGTGGTTCTTGGTCGGCGGCACCAGCTGCGGCGTCCAGGCCGCGATCATGGCCACTTGCTCCCCCGGCGACACCATCGTCTTGCCGCGGAATGCACACGTTTCCGCCACCACCGGAATCATCTTTTCCGGCGCATTGCCGGCGTACATTGTCCCGGAACATAACTGTGAATGGGACGTCGCCGCCGGCGTGACGCCGTTACAGGTATGTATTGTTCCGTTTGAAAATTTTGACGATAAATTGTGTTTAGTTGTAGGTTTTACTCGTGATTTTTATTATTCATTAATTTTTATTTTTTTTTAATGAAACATCGAATTAAATATTTATATTTTTAATTTTTATAAAAATTACTATTAAACTTTCAAAATATTACATTGATGCTTATTTATATAATTTGTGATGTCATTTTAATTTTAATTTAGGCTTAAATTATTATTAAATTGTATAAAAAATCTAAAATTAAGTACAATAGAAGCATATCGCAATTTTTTGATATTATTTTTATTTGATGTTTTTTAAAATTATTATTTTTCTTTATTTATATATAAATTTTGATTTTTTTTACCTCTCTAAATATAATTTATAAAAACATATCTAACGAAAAATAAAATTAAAAATATAATAAATCTATTAATTCAGAATGATACTATTTGATTATATCAGCATATTACATAAAATCATACATCATATAATTTTGCATACATAGATATTCTATGATAGTATTATAATACTATGTTAATTACCTTTATATTATATGTTGATTCGATCAAACAGTCAATCAGCACTGGATCCGCAACCTATTATTGAACATAAAATAAGAGAGCATTTACATATATATATATATATATAATAAGCCTCGGGTTTGCTTTAAGTTATATTTTAGTCACATTTGTATTATTCGAAATGAAAATTTTGATTTAAATAATATTTTTATATTTATATTTAGAACCATATAGACTTAAAAGTGGTAATTTATGTTCGAAACATAAACCAAAAATACCCAAAATAAACTTTGAATAAATATTGAATTATTGAAAAAGAAAAAACGTTCTGTTTAAACTCTATTCAATATACATATAATCAATGCAAAAGGTGAACTCGGCCATCGAAGAATCAATGGTGAAAGGGCGAAAGGTGGCGGCGGTGTTCATGACGTCGCCAACATACCACGGCGTGTGTAGCAATGTCGCCGACATTGCGAGGGTGTGTCATTCACACGGAATAATTTTGATCGTGGACGAGGCTCACGGCGCTCACTTCAAGTTCCATCCCGATATGCCGATGACGGCTCTCGACCAGGGGGCCGACATCTCTATACAGTCCACACATAAAGTTTTAGGTTCCTTCTCTCAATCATCGATGCTCCACATTGCTGGAAACATCGTCGACAGGTAATACTATTATACTATTTGCATTACATAATCTTCTTAATTTTTATTTTAGTATGATTTTTTAAAACGATATATTATTTGCGAGTGTGATTTTAGTCTAATTTTACTATACAATATTTCATCTCATAAAATATTCCATTCAAACTGCAATTTTTAAAAAAAAAATAATAAATCAAACTCTAAAAGAAGGTATATAAATTCATTCATTTTTTCTTACTCTATATTTGAAATAATTTTTTCTTTTGTTTTTTCTAAACATTTCACGCTGATCTCTTTAATTAGGAATAGAATATTTTAGATACTATAGATTAGTAAGTTATTAATAATAAATTATAATTTTATTTTATTATTTTTATATGAGAAGTGTTGTTGTATTTTGAATATTTTTAACATTATATATCAATAAAAAATATATAATATGGATCTCATTTTATAAATAATAAAATTCTATATAATATAAATAAATAACTTAAAACTAAGTTTATAAAAAAAAAAATTTGAATAGTTTTAAATATAGATTAAAATATTTGTTTATTGAGGGGAAATATGTAAATAAAAGGGTTTTGAGTTGGTTTTAGACGTAAGAAGTTAAAAATTTAATTAAATTGATTTATATTTGTTAAATATATTTAAAATCAATAAATTTATTGAAAATAGAAAAATTATGTATTTTTATATGATAGAAAAAAAAAAAAAAAAAGTTATCTGTGGCAGACGGAACGGAGGAATATTTATTTACATCACTATTATTATATCAATTTTCTTTAAAAAAAAAAAAAAAAAAAGTCTTCTATATAAAAATATCCACCAACTACCATTTAGATATAATATTTTTTAAAAGTCCACATCAATTATAAATATATACTTTCAAATTTAAATTATAAAATAATAAATAATTGTTTTATATAATATATATATATATATATTTTCCTTAATCGACAGGGAAAGACTACACAAATGTATACACATCCTTCAATCGACGAGCCCCAACTGGCTCCTATTAGCGTCGCTCGACGCCTCCCGGCACCAACTCAGCGCCAATCGGGACACCCTCTTTAGCGAACCGCTATTTCTCGCCAACACCACTAAATCATCCCTCGCTAAAATTCCCGGAATTACCATACTCGACTTGTCGGCATTTCCCGGAAACTTCCCGGCAATCGACCCACTAAGGATCACCGTCGGCGTATGGCAACTCGGCCTATCGGGATTCCAAGCCAACAAAATCCTTGACAACGAGCTCGGCATCATTCCCGAGCTCGTGGGCACAAAATCTGTCACCCTGGCATTCAGCCAGGGGACAGTTAGACATCACGTCGACAAATTGGTGAAAGGAATTAAATATTTATCGATTCGATTTTCGGGATTGGCCCGGCCGGCACGGGTTTTAGCCAATCCGATGGCGGCGGCGTTCGGTAATACGGTGATGGTATTGAGCCCGAGAGAGGCGTTTTTTGCGATGAAGACGAAGATGAAGTTTGAAAATTGCCCGGGAAAAATTTGCGGGGAATTTGTGTGCCCGCATCCTCCGGGAATACCCGTGTTGGTCCCCGGAGAACTGATAACTAAAAAAGCTTTGGAATATTTACGAGAGATTATTGACAATGGTGGGTATGTTATGGGCACTGCTGATCCTATGCTTTCTTCCATCGTTGTCTGCATAATAAATAATAAAATTTAAAATTTAAATTTGATGTTTTTGAGGTGAAAAAAATAAAATTGGGCGGGTAATTTTTAGCGTCGAAAGGAAAGATGTTTTACCGCCGTATTGAATGCATATGTTTTTTGTCTGATTTTTGTACCGTGTAATGTGGAATAAAGTTTTTCTGAAGGGATAAAAGTAGTGATTTTTTTTTTTTTTTATCTACTGTTCAAATTTTAATAAATATACTCATTGTGTTCCACATAATTTGTCTAACTCTTTTTATTTCGGTATGTTCTGGATAATTTATCATTTTTTTTAGAAATATAATGACATTTCAAAATTTATAATTTACAAATTTTTTATTAGTTAAAATATTTAATTATCTTAATCTTAATTTATAATTATTCTTGTTATATTATAATTATTTTTATTAATATATTTTTTAATTATTTACTTTGGACCTAGAAAATATATAATAGTAAATACAACCATTAATTTAAATAAAAACAAACACTAGAAAATACAAAAAAAAAAGAGTGGATAAGGGTTTGTTTAGTTATGTCATTTTGAATGTTTCGAAAATAGTAATTGAATATCATATTTTAAAAATAAAATAGATTTGTTGAACTAATAATTTAAATGAAAATTTGGTATTGAATTTAATATTTATAGTGCTATTGAGCAAATTTAAAAATACAAATAAAATAGAAAAAAATAAAATAATAATCATAATAATAATATAAATTGATATGAAATATAAAAAATTGTAGATAATATAAAATATTGAATGGTAGTATATTAATTTTTTTTGAAGAAATAGTATTAGAATTGTTTTTTTTAAAAAAACAAAAACAAACATTGTTTTGCTCTAAGTGTTGGCTCTGAATTTTTCTGGACCGAATGGGCCTGATGTATTTGGGCTGAAATTGTATAGGCCCAAATATATCGGGCCGGCCCATTAGAATCTATTCTGTGGATATGTTTATATACATAGGATTTAGATTAGAGCCCAAATGTTGTTCAAATATTTCGTTAGAGATTATTATATTTTTGGAAATTAATTTTGATCTGATTTTTTTTTTTTTGTATAAAGAAATGCGATAATTGTAATGATTAAAAAAAAAAAAAAGAGTTTGGTGGTGTATAAGTAAAATTCCAAATTTAATATATATATATAACAGTCAAACAATAATATATACTTTTATTTAATACAATACATATTGTGTTAAATAAAAATATATATGTGTGATATATTGATACATTTATATTATATTAATATAATTTATGTATTATTTGTCTTTATACTATGTATTGTCGTATGTACTACTATTGAGTTTTATATTTTAGTACAGTAAATGTCATATAAGTTTATTGGAGTATATATAATTATAGAGGATAAACTGTTTTTTTAGTCCTGTAACTGTACCTCCTTATCATTTTAGTTCCGTAAATGGAGTCTCTCGCAAATTAGTCCCATAAGTGAAAATTTTTCGCTATTTTAGTTCTCCGGCGCCGGAGACGCCCCCGTGGCTCACCGGAGGTGACGTGTCCGCCAGGTCAGCGATAGGTAGCGCTGACCTGGCGGACACGTGGATTTTTTTTTATTTTTTTAAAACTTATTTTTAATTTATTTTTAATTTTGTAATTTGATTTAATTTTTTAAAAAAAATTTGAAAAAAAATAAATAAATCCACATGTCCGCCAAGTGTCGCTGACCTGGTGGGACACCTGGCGTACACGTCACCTCCGGCGAGTCACGCGGGCGTCTCCAGCGTCGGAGGACTAAAACAACGAAAATTTTTCACTTATTGGACTAGTTTGCGACAGGCTCCACTTACGGGACTAAAATGATAAAGGGGTCCAGTTACGGGACTAAAAAAACAGTTTACTCTAATTATAAATATAAAATATTGCAATTTAATATTTTAGTAATAAAAAGGATTAATTGATACAACAATATGTATTAAAATTTATGAGAATGGTTAGATTGTTTATTAGGACTAATCAGCGACATGTTAATTAGTCTATTTTATAGATTTTACAAACATGTTATAAATACGAACATATTTTTTTAAATTTAATAGATCAAGAGTATATATTATAGGATAATATTATTTCGACAAATAGATGTAAAATTTGAATTAAGTTAATAATTAAATTAGTGTCACATCAACTATATCTAAAATGAGCTATTTAGATGGTCAATCAAAAATGATAAATTAATACTCCTTTCTCCGTCCCAATACAACAGTCTTGTTTATTATTTTTGTCTGTTCCAAAACAATAGTCTCATTTCCATATATAATCATATCACTATAAAACTACTCTTACTTTTTCATTATTTTTACACAATTGTCACTATTTTTTACACTAATACATTCATAAGGGCAAAAAAGTCTTTTGCCTTTACTTTTTATCTACTACTAATATAATATTAATATTCTTAAAATTTCGTGTCAAATAGAATCCAAACTATAATTTTGAGACGAAAGAAGTATATTAAAGTGAAATGGATAGACTACTATCTTTATTCGTTAATAATAGATACATTTTTTTATTTAAAATCTTTTTATTTATCATTTAGCTTAAAAGTAACAAAATATCTCTTTCAATATATTTTTAATTATTATAATAAAATGATATTTTAATCCTTACACGGTTACTACTGTACGGACACAGTAATACACAACAATTATCCATTGTGTATGTGATGAGGATATTTCTTTCAAACAATTTCATTTCTAACACACATCACGTGCTATTACTACACAAACAAACCAAAAATTGGATAGTAATAATAATAATAATAATAATAATAATAATATTAAATTGGATAGTAATAATAATAATAATAAATAATAATATTATTTATTATTATTATTATTATTATTATTATTGAGAGAGAGAGAGAGAGAGCCTTTCACGTCTCAATGGGTCTGTATCATAATTTTGAGAATTTTTTAAAATTATTCTATAATATTATTTAAACGAAGTAAAGAGAATGTAAGTGTAAATATTATATATATATATATAATAAAATTTAAGATATCTATAAAAATTTATCTATTTATACGCGCAAACGGGGTATGCGAAACTTGCACATGCATATACCGTAAATGAGGATTTGAGATTTAGTCTAGACTCTGATACCTTGTCGCATGCAGAATAATTGTCTCAGCTAAAAGCTCAAGTTATTAAGATATGATATAATTTATTTATTTATCCACAAACGGGAGTCCTCGGATAAACTTATTTAAATTTAAAGAATAACTATTTTTATCACTATGTAAATAATAAAATTTTGTATAATACAAATATATTTGTAAAATAATTAAAATTATTATATAAGAAAAAAAATGTGACATCCCAGTCGACAAGCCACACAATCTTAAATTATTTTAAAGCAAACATGATTAATTTCAGAATTCATTCAGTAAAACTTTCGAAAAAAATACAAGTAATTTATTCAATTTATTTAATCAATATTTAATTTGAGATAACTTAGCACTGACTCATCCATGTACAAGAGTTACCTAATACTAGTCCAACTCAAATATTGAAGGTCATTTTGATTTATCTCATCCAATAATTTTTCAACATTTTTTAAACTATTTTTTCACATATATTAGAAAATAAAAAATAATTTATTTTAAAATCTATAATTTTATGTTCAAACTTATTTATTTCTTTTTTTTTTTTTTTATTTACCCTTATTCAATTGAATAATAAAAAACACATGTTAAGCAGGAGGTGGAGAATTTAGATAAGGCTGAGTGTAAGGGTACACATAACGTTAAAATGTACCTATTACATCGCATGTGCAGCTTTCATTCAAATTACGTACAGCCTGTCTGTATGTACTAATATTACATCTCTATCTATATCAATATATACATATTTTTATTATTTTTTTTTATTATTTTTTTTTTTTAAGGCGTCACGGTACTGATATATACAGTAGTTCATCTGTCCACTAAAAATAGTTTATTTGAGTCCGACAAAAAATTAAAAAAAATAATATTTTATTGAAATTAAAAATAAAAATAAATAAAAAGAAAATGTAATAAAATTAGTTATATTTGTTGTAAATAAATGTGGAATAAAGGGTAATAATTAAACGTTCTTGTCTTTACCAAAATTAGTAATGTGATAAATTTAACGGACTAACTAAAAAAAAGAAAGAGAGAATAAATTTGGCTGACGGATGAAGTAGTTGGGAATTGTTTCTTTTAGGGTGTGTTTGTTTGGGGAATTGGATTTTAATTCCACTATTCATTCCATTTTTTTCCTCCAAAAACATCAAATTAAATATTTATTTTTATTTTTTATATTACACTAAAAATCAATTTTACATTCAAAACATCACATCAACACGTATTTATATTACATCATACAACTATTCAAATTTAAAAATTTTACTATTGAAATCCCAATTCAAAATTCAAACCCCTGAACAAACACACCCTAATTTGATTTGGAAAATTTTTTATTTAGATTTTGTATTAAAATAATATTCCCTCCGCTTAAGAAATACTAGTTTCATTTTTTTTATTTTCGGCTGTCTTATAACAATTGTCTAATTTTTATTTTTGTAACTAATTACCAATATTTTTTTACAAAACTATCCTCATTTTTCTACAATAATTACATAAATTATGAGTATTTTGATCTTTTAAAAATATTTTTACACCTACTGTCAATATAATACTATAATTTTTAATTTCCATACTCATTCCAAATATCTTTATTATTTTGAAACAGAATAAATATTTTTTGATAAAATATTTTATAAAATAAAAAAAATATATAATTTTTTTTTTAAATAAAAACACATAGAGTTCAAATAAAAAATTTAAAAATTTGATGCAAAAGAAACAAATTAGATTTTATAAAATTAATTTAGTAATTTTATAATAGCTAACGAAAAGGTGAAATTGTGAGTAGGAAGAGAATTATTGAGACAAAACATTGACATAAAAATCCATCACACACCACACCGGGCCCCACCCCCATTCATTAAAATAATAATAATAATAAAAAGGTTTTATTTGAATTGTTATTACCCCTCTGCATGAAATAGCCCATTATGGGTTTTATTTAAAAAAAATACTCCTTCAATTTTGAATATTTTATCCAGTTTATCGTAGACATGAGAATTTAACAGGGATATATTTAGTAAACAATTAGAAATATATTAGTAAAAATAATTATAGTATAATAAAAATAATTATAAATTAAAATTAAGATAATTGATTAGTATAATTAAAATTACAAAAATTATAAATTAAATTTTTTAAAATAAGATTAAAGTGTATAATTCTTTTCTAAAAAAAAAGTGACAAAATAAGTGAGACAGAAAAAAAATGAAAAAGTGGACATGAGAAGTGTAACGGAGGGAGTAATAATTACAGTATATTTTAAATGTAAATGTTATTGTGAGTGTTTTTTTTTTTTTTTTAATTTGTAGTTCCGTTTAATTGATATTAATGTATGATTATTTTTACTAAAAATAAGAAAAATACTTCAATCTGACCGAAGTTTATCTTTTTTTTTTTAATATTAAATTAAAATTAAAATGATTTATTTTATACTAATTTTTAATAAAAATATACTCCCTCGGTGCCAGAATTATAATCTGGGTTGTGTTTGACACGAGATTTAAGGAATATTGATATTACATTGGTAGTGAGTAAAAAGTACGGGTACAAAACTTTTTTGCCCTTGTAAATGTAATAGTGTAAAAAATAGTGGCAATTGTGTAATAATAATGAAAAAGTAAGAACAGATTTATAGTGATATGATTATTAATTGAAATGAGACTATTGTTTTAAGATGGATAAAAATTGTAAATAAAACTATTGTATTGGAACGGAGGGAGTATTAGTTTATGTTAATTATAGGTAAATAAAATATATTTATATTTATATTTAATATTTTTTAAGTTTTTATAAAATTAATTTATGTTAATTATAGATAAATAAATATATTTTTATTATTAAAAAATATTTTTTACAAAACGATGCATATTATATATATTTTATTGAGATATAATGCTAAAAATAATTAAAAAAAATATTCTAAATTTTCTTTTATCATATATATTAATAATTCATATTTTAAAAATACCAATAATATTACTCATATAAACAATAATAAAATAATATCATAACTTATTATTAGTAACATTTTAATTTACACTACATAAAATATTGTTACTCCAACAAAATGGATCATCTTACTCGGGACGGAGGGAATAGTAATATTTACACGGCTCGAATTTTCCCAATCTTTATTTGAAGTCCTTTAGGTTTGAGCAATTTCAGCAGCTGATGGGACAAATCGATTGTTTAAATTTCGAATGCGATTGTTTGATAGATAGAAAACGTATCGTCAGCCTCGAAGAATTCGTAGGTTCTTGAAAGTGCTTACTCGAAAATAATGATTTTTTTTTTTAAAATTCGATTTATCCTGTTTTTCATTCGATTATTTATTTGTAAGTTTAATTTATTATTTTCCGATTATATTAGATAATTCTTTTCAAGTTTGACTCCCGAAGATGATCCTAATCCATGTTAATTTTAGTTATAGTGAGTAGTTAAAAATTATGTAAATATAATTTTGTCATTGTCTTTTGGTGTAAAAATAATAATGTGACGGTAAAGTTAAAGTATTTATAAAAAAAAGTGAGATATCTTTTAAAATAATTAATTTATAATTTGACAACTCAAAATAGAAATATATATATTTGGTGAGTAGTATTATTTAATAATCTACTATAAAATACAAAAATAATACTCCCTCCGTCCCATGTAATATGGGTGTATTAGTGTAGACACGAGAATTTAGGTAAAGTATAATTAGTAAGTAATATTAACAAGTATATTAGTAAAAATAATTATTATTTAGTAAAAATAATTATAGATTAAGATTAAGATAAGTAAATAGTTTAATTAAAATTAAAAAAATTATAAAATTTAAAATTTAAAATGCGATTAAAGTGCATAATTATATTTCCAAAAATAGAAAGGACAAGTTATGTGGGACGGACGAAAATAGAAAATAGAAACAAATTACGTGGGACGGAGGGAGTACTTTGTAGTGAAACATAAAGAATATAAAAATATATTATTTTCTTTTCGTAAAATATTATATTAAAATATTATTTAAATAAAAAATAATTTTCTCTCGTAATTTTTTAATTTAAATTAATTAATGATCAATAAATCAAAATTCAAAATGTTCGATTAAATGAAAAAGAAAAAGAAAAAGGACTAACGTACACTTGATTGATCTAATTATGTATGGTTGGTGATAAATTGAAAATATGGCACAAAGAATATTCGTAGTTTTGAAATTCTATGAAATTTTAAATATTATTTTATAGAATAAAAAAATAAATTTAATACTGTACTATATACAGTTATTTATTTATATGAATGGTCCTTATCTTCTGACAATGTTGGAATAAAGACATCCCCAATTTTCATTTCTTATTTGTTTTCAAATTGTTGTCTTCCATCATTTCAAAATATAATTAATATTTTTAGTGTATTTGGTGTTGGAATTATTGTAATATCAAAAAAAAAAAAATGGTAGGGTTTGTTCAGTGTTTATTGGTATTTTTCGTATATATAATTTATTATAAATAAAATAAAATTTAATCAGAAATATTATACTCCCTCCGTCCCAAACACCGTGTAACATTTCCTTCTTGGTATGTCCCAAATACTCTGCAACATTTTCAAAATAGAAAATAATTAATTATACTTAATATCTACCCCACATTTTATCCCATCACATCATCAAAATAAAAAAAAAAATATACATTTCTCTCTCCATCGCATCACCTAATTTCTAAATTGTCATACTTAATACTACCCACCTAAAAACCCGTGTTCAGAATAAATGTTGCACCTTATTTAGGATGGAGGGAGTATTTATTTTTATTTAAATCTTATATTAAAATAATAAAAAAGCAAATGTACAAACGAAAATTGGGAAGAAGTGTTAAGGGTGTTTTTGTTTGGAGATTAAATTAACTGTTTTTTCTATTTTTTTTTCTCAAATATATTAAATCAAATATTTATTTTTCATTTTTTATATTATAGTAAAAATCAATTTTACATTCAAAACATCACATCAACACCTATTTATATCACATCATACAATTATGTAAATTCAAAATTTTTACTATTCAAATCCTAACTCAAAATTCAAACCCCCAAACAAACACGTCAATTTATATTTAATTCCTAATGTAATAAAAAATTATAAATTACATAATATTTTCTTATATTTTATATATGTTCACAAAATACTTCGTGTTTATTTATTGCGTAAAATTTTATTATGTTAAATTAAATTAGGCGTAAAATATCTTCTAATTTTATTTGAATAAAATAAATAAATGATTTGTCATTCATTTTATAATATTTTTTTTATAAAAATTAAATAGCAATTTCTTCCAAAAAATTATTAAATGAATTATTGATAAATTATTTTTTTATTTTATTAAAAAAGACTATTTATATTTTACATTTTTATTTGTATAAAATTAAGTGTGCGTTTACCACAACAATAAAAATGAATAAACTAATTTTTATATATTTTAATTTAACACAAAAAATTCATAATAAATTAATAATAAATAAAACATTTATTATATATTACATTAAAATTTAATTTTACATTCAAAATATTACATCAATACATATTTATATCACATCAAATAATTATTTCAATTCAAAATTAAAACTCAAAATCAAAATCCCACGAATAAACACAACAAATTTATATTTTATGCATTTTTACTAAAACCGATATTATATAATTATTTATTTATTTATTTCATATTCTACAAAATTCCAACAAAACTTCCCAAAATCATACGGAGAACCTGTAATTTAACCGACAATGGTAACATTGTAAATACTCTTTCAGTAGTAATTGATAGTGTACCATTTCGTAGTGCCGTAATGAACTCAAGAGACTTTTAGATTAATCCTGACCGTTCAATATAGTCTGATCCACCGACGTCGAAGATTTATCTGGTGTAGGGTCCAGGACCACACCGGCATATCCAAGCACCTCCATATATATTTCCCGGCCTTCACGTGTATAATCAAAATCCAGTCACGTTGTTTCTTCTCCACCGACTCTCTCCGCAGCCATGGCAGACCTGCAAAAGTACAGAGGCAAGCGAAAGCTCTTCATCCTAGCAGCAATGGCGTTACTGCTCCTCGTCGCTGTAATCTCCGTCGCCGCCATTGTCAGATCGCAGAAGAAATCGAACGCGGTCGCCGGAGAACTAGTGGTGAGGTCTACCTGCGCAAAAACTTTGTATCCTGACCTATGCTTCTCCACCGTGAAGGCGGCGACGGCGGCGACGGCGACGGAGTTAGCAGATTTGAAGAATCCTAGAGAGGTGCTGCTCACCGCTTTGAATTACACGATTTATACAGTTGAGAGAAATTACTTCACCGTGAAGAAAATCGCCGCCGGAAGAGACCTAACGAAGCGAGAGAAGGCGGCGCTCCGCGACTGCCTGGAGATGATCGACGACACGCTGGAGGAGCTCCGTGAGAGCGAATCGGAGCTGAGGAATTTCGGATTCAAAAACTACACCATCGCCGATCATAAGGAGAATTTAATGACTCTGCTCAGCGCGGCGCAGACGAATCAGGGTTCGTGCATCGACGGTTTCTCGCACGACGACGCAGATCGGAAAGTTCGTAAAGCTCTAATCGCCGGTCAGAACCACGTTTTCCGACTCGTAAGTAACATTTTAGCTATAATTAAACATTTGAAGGATTCTGAACTGGTGATTATCTCCTCCGCCGCTGCGAATTCGTCCGATTCGCCGGGGAGGAGGCTCGGAGAGAACAGATCTGACTGGCCTAAGTGGCTCTCCGCCGGAGATAGGCGGTTACTTCAGTCGACGACGGTTACAGCTGACGTGACGGTGGCGGCGGACGGTAGCGGAAACTATCGCACCGTTTCGGAGGCGGTTGCGGCGGCGCCGAGCGGAAGTTCCCGGCGGTATGTGATTAGGATTAAGGCTGGAGTGTACAGAGAGAATGTGGAGATTCCGAGGTCGAAGACGAATTTGATGTTCGTCGGAGATGGAAGGACGACGACAATTATCACCGCCAATCGGAACGTCGTCGACGGCAGTACCACTTTCCGGTCGGCCACCGTCGGTTAGTGGCTCTGTGCTTCACTCTTTTTGTGCTTAATTACAATTTGTGAAAAGTAGGTTTGATTTACCGGCCTTAATTTTTTTTGATTAATTGAAAATGTGAGTATAATAATTAAGTAAGATTTTAATGAAATGTGGAACCAACATATGCAGGAAAATGACGGTTGTGTTTATAACTTATTAGTGCGTCTACTTTGTCAGTTGTCTCACTGGAACCTTACTGGATTTTTGAAATAAAAAATAATGGACTAATTTTTTCTCATCAGATTTTATTTTTTATATATATATATTTTAACTATAAAAAATAAATATGTAAATTAGGTTTAATAGACAAATCACATCAGACGAATCATGTACAGCAGACTATTCTTAATGGGACAAAAAAAAAAATTTATTTTTTTATTTTGTTTTTGTTTTTATTTTTTATTTTAATAAAACTCACTCTATTCATCCGGAATATTTATGCCAAGATATTCGGACATTAAAACTAAAAAATAATACTCCTGCTACAATACTTCATCTTGTTCTAACCTAACGTATATATTTTTCTATTTTCGTCCATTATGTAATGATGTATACATTTTACTTTTATTAAAAATAAAAAAGAAATTATTTTTACATTATTATAACTATTCATTTTAAATAAAATAATAAATATTATTTTTAAAATTTCATAGTAAAAGTAAATATATGTCCTTAGGCGAGAGGAAGGGAGTATAAAAATAAAATAGGTGGTAAATAAAAAAGAATAGTGGCAATTTAATTGTTATTTGTTAAAATCGAAATAATAATATTTATAAATTGATAAATTATTTTATTATAAATAAATTATACATAAATTTGACACATACAACATAAAAAAGTAAATTATATAATTATTTAAGATGGAAGAGTAATATTGTTATAAAAGATAAAAATTACTCCCTCTTAATCTCACAAAAATGATACTATTATTTTTTTATTTTTGTTCATCCCAAATTTAATAACTATACTACGTATCTAACATAATTAATATATTTACAATTTTTAATATATTACATAAATTTTATTATTTTTATATCACACAATCTAATAAAAATATTTTTTTATTTTTTATTTTTACTATAAACTAATATAATACTAATATTTAAAATCTACATACAAAAAATAAATAAAACTGATTTTATGGGACAAAGTAGAATTAAGAAAGATACGCACTTATATTAAAATATACTCTTTTCCGTCCACAATCTAACGATTTACTTTCGTATTTGAAATGTCTAACAATTATGGTTCTTTTTCTATTTTTATACACAAAATTTACTCTTTTATCTTAACTTTATTTACTTATTTTTTTATACACAAAATTAAAGACAAATTTGTTATTTTATAACAAAAATTCTAATTGCCTAAAAATAGTATAAATATCATATAGGAGATTAGAAAATGGATGAAGAGACTATGTAGAAAAATACCACAATATTATTAAGTGATGGATAGAGTAATGAGTATTATTACTTGAGCTTTATTCTTCTTATTATTTTCTTTCATACATTTCTTAAAAAAAATTAATACAATGCGTTATATTTATTATTTTTATATTATCTACCTAATTTTTTATATATTAAAAAATTTATTATCTTATATTAAAAAATTTATTTTCCAACATTCTCACCAAACATACGTTTTATAATTAAAAAACAATTGCTAAATAGTAATTTCTGCATTATCTAAATCAAACGCCGAAAACCTAACCTTTTCTTCTTTCCTTCCCCGGCACGGCCAACAGCGGTGGTCGGCGGCGGGTTCCTGGCCCGCGACATAACCTTCCAGAACGCCGCCGGGCCGTCGAAGCACCAGGCGGTGGCCCTCCGCGTGAACGCCGACCTCTGCGCCTTCTACCGCATCGACGTCCTCGGCTACCAGGACTCCCTCTACGTCCACTCCCTCCGCCAGTTCTACTCCGGCAGCCTCATCGCCGGGACCGTCGACTTCATCTTCGGCAACGCCGAGGCCGTCCTTCAGGACTGCGACATCCACGCCCGCCGCCCTAACTCCGGCCAGCGCAACATGGTCACCGCCCAGGGCCGCAGCGACCCCAACGAGAACACCGGCATCGTCATCCACCGCTGCCGCATCGGCGCCACCTCCGACCTCCGGTCCGCCGCCGCCGGATCGGTCGAGACCTACCTCGGCCGGCCGTGGAAGGAGTATTCGAGGACGGTGGTGATGAGGTCGGAGATTAGCAACGTGATACATCCGGCGGGGTGGTATGAGTGGAGCGGGGATTTTGCGAAGGAGACTTTGTACTATGCGGAGTATCAGAATACCGGCGCCGGCGCCGCCACCGGGGGGAGGGTGAATTGGCCGGGGGTTAGGCGGCAGATTTCGGCGGCAGAGGCGCAGCAGTTTACGGCGGGGAGGTTTATCGGCGGCGGGAATTGGCTGCCGGCCACCGGATTCCCGCACACGCTTGGGCTTTGATTTGATTTGATTGGTGAGTGGGGTTTTGGTTTGTTTACACGTGGGAAGTAAATTGTATTATTATTATTATTATTATTATTAATGTTTTTATTATTATTTGAAATATAAAAATAAATTATTGTTGTTTTTGTTCTGTTGAGTAATTTGCTTTTCAAGTTTGTGTTTATTGGAATTTGTGTTTGGAAGGATGTCGAATTTTTGGCATGTTGTTTTTGTTTTTATTTTTTAATAAAATATTCCTTAATTAAAAGTTTTTTTTTTTTTATTTGTTATATTTAAAAATATCTATTTCTTATTTTGATAAAGAACTATACACTAATATAATACTAATATTTTTTTAACTTTTGTTTGAATGATTTCAATCAATTTTCATTAAACCCAACTTGAACAACATCCGATGGACCTGACATACTTGAAAAAATCTTTACAACTCCTAAAATTTAATTTAAAATTGAACCCAAACTCGGATTCGAACCTGTATACTCGCAAAAAATCTTTTACAACTTTTAAAATTTAATTTAGAATTTAGTCGAACGGATTCGGACCCGACATATATTAAAATTTATATATTTTACTCAAAAATATTATAATAAATTAATAAATAAATTAAACTAAATCATACTTTTAATATAATTTATATTATTACAAATTATTTTTTTCATATATATAACTAAAATATTAATCGGGTCCGGGTCGGAGTAGGATCCTCTATTGGACCCGAGACCCGGACCCGATAAGGTACACAATACCCGAATTAGACCTAGACCCGATACCCAAATAATTGAACTCAATTCCAAATAAATGAGTTGGGTTCGGATCAGATCTCGGGTCTATACGGACCCATTGTCATTCCTATTTATGTTGCACCAACAATTAATTCAATTAAGAAAATTTACTATTGAAACATAAAAATCATAATTAATGTTTCACAAGTGAACATGTTCTTATTGACTTAGGTTATGTTTAGTTTTTTTTTTAATTTATTTTGGATGACGTGGAAACCTGCAGCCGCTACCCGAAAATAGGCACTGGGTAAACCCTCGGCCGAACCTAATATCCTGCAAATCAGACCCGACAGAAAAGTCACACTAGATGAACCATGTTTAGATTCCACAATATGGTGAGAAATATAATATCAACACTATTTGGTTCCACAATATTATATGAAAATATATTACTACCTCCGTGCAACCACAAAGTACGCAGTGATTTTTTTGTGTTGATCTTTAAATATTAATTATTATATCAAAATATAATACAAATAAATATAAAAACACGAAAAATACATATATTAATCTCTTATAATACAAATAAACGATATTTGTGAAGTAAAATATATAAATATAAAAATATTTTTAATGTTAAATACATTGACGCAAAATCATATATTTACTTGATGGGTGGACGGAGGTAGTATTAATTCTTATAAAATATTTATATTAAGATATTATTCAAATCAAAATGAAATATTCAAGGTAAAAACATACAAACTAGTTTGCAATAGATTATTAACAATTTTTTTGGTCATATTAAAAAATAAAATAAAATAATAATTTTGGTATATTCAAGAGAAGCCCATTGGGCCCAATTTAGACCTAAATATAAATAAATAAATAAAGTTATTGCTTTAAAATTAATTAATTTTGTTTTCAATCTAACCAATTATATGTCCAAAAATTGTGAATGAATTGAAATGGTTATTCAGAATTACAAAAGGTTTCACTAAAATATGAGATGATGAATACAAAAGATGAATTATTGTTATTAAAGTAAAAAGTGCCTTATTTATTTATTTAAAATTGCCTTTTAAAAATGTGGGTAAAGCTTTCACGTGCTTTTATGGACCATAGCACGTGAAGAAGGATTTAAAGAGCATCGGATGTCGCTAAGTATCTTTCCTAGTATCGTCTGAGCAATTTATTTTATCTTTAAAAATAAATAGTAATTTAATATATATCTTTTTCAGTCTCATTTAATTTGTCCACCTTAGATAGACACAAAGTTTTAAATAATATATAATTAGTAAGTATAAATTAAAATTAAAATAACTAAATAATTTAAATAAAATAAAAAATATAAATAATGAATTTAAAAATAAAATTAAAGTATGTGGAACAGACCGAATACAAAAAATAGACAAATTATATATATCGAAATGAGAAATTTTTATATAAAAAACGCTTTTGGTTCTATTTTATTTATATATATTTTAAAATTTGATACTTCCTCCGTCCCGGTGCAAGGTTGTCGTTTATTTTTTTCACGTAGATTTTTTAATATCAGTATTATAATGGGTTGTAGTGAAAAAGACGAAAATACCACTATTAGTATTGTGTAATATAAAAGTAATGACATTTGTGTAATATAGTGTGAGTTGAAAGAGTATTTATTACGTGAAGTAGGTAGTACAATTACTAAATTATGAAATAGTAACATTATTTTGGGACAAACGAAAATGAAAAATAACAAACTTTCAATGGGACGAAGAGAATATTATTTAAGAATATTATTTATTAATAATATATATATATTTAAAACATATTTAGATTATTAAAATATACACTATATGAAAAATCAATAAAGTGCGTGAAAAATTCAATATAGTACCATCGTTATGACAATTTTTATGGTATACCGACTTTTAGGTATATCGAATTGTTCGATATGGTATTGGTACGACATTCTTTTATAGTGAAATTTATGGTATGATATACAGTATGTATAAATTTCTAGCATATGGTACGATGCCACTTCTAACCAAATTTACATAATTTTACTGGGACGGAAGAATTATATTTTATATTTTCACAAAAAGTCTATGTTCATAAAATATTTTATTCGTCCGTCAAATTTAATCACAAATTTTTTTATTATTCCATTAAATTTAGTTCATTATAATTTTGAGAAAAATCAAACTTTCAATATTTAACTATCTGTCATTCAAATTTTATCGGATTTTTATAAAATATCTATAAAATTGAATGACTGATTATTTATTTAATTATTTATTTTATTAAAAAAACTACTCCTTTCAAATATTTTATCTTTTTTATTTATATAAAATTTTCATATTAAGTGTACGTATTTATAATCAAATATCAATTTCAGATAAAAAGAGTATTTTATGTACACTTTATTTTAATACAGCAAATTTTTCATAATAAATCAAATATAAAATATCTTTTATATTTTTACTAAAATATGAAAGATGCTTTATATTCACTCCGTTCCTTAACTATAGTTTTAATTAGTTTGGGCACAAAATTTAAAGAATATTGATATTATATTGGTAGTTGGTAAAAAGTATGGACAAAAGATTTTTTTTGCCCATGTGAGTGTATTAGTGTAAAAAGCAGTGACAATTGTGTAATAAAAAAAAATTGATAGTTTTACGGTGATATGATTATTTATGAAAATAAAACTATTGTGTTGAAACAAATAAAAATGATAAATAAAACTGTTGTATTAGACGAAATATAATTTACCAAAAACATAACAAAAATCAGTGACAATAATAGATGTTATTCTGAAAGCCACAAAAAAGGATGAATTGGAGAAAAGTGGTAAGATTGTGACACGCTTTTTACTATTTTTGTCACCATATAACTTATATAAAAGCTTAAAAACGCGTTTTAGGGGACCGCCTTCCGAATCAAAATAAATTCCAACGCTAATTATAGAAATAATAATAATAATAATATTATTATTACTTTATTATTATTATTATTAAAAATTATCTTCAGTGTTTCCGCGTAGCACGTGGTTCTGTTATCCTGTTCCTGCTTGCTCATTCGAGTAAGTATTTTACTTCCTTCGTCTTTAATTAATACTGCGTCGTCATCGGTTCCAAGAGTTTCATTTATTTTTAGTAAGTTGATATTTGTATATTAATTATTATATAAAAATATAGTACAAATCAAATAAAAATGACAAAAATACTTTTGTTAGTGTCTTATAATACCATTATAATGATATTTGTGCGAAAAAATTAATAAAATATAAAATAATTTTTAATATTAAATACATTGACGCAAAAGTAAAAGAGACTCTTAGAACCTGACGGAGGGAGTATACTCTTTTCGTCTCGATAAATTATCTATATTAATATAGATACAAAAATTTAGGTAAAATATAATTAATAAATCATTAAAAATTATATTAGTAAAAAATAATTATTATATAATAAAAATAATTATAAAAAAATTATGATAATTAAATAATTTAATTAAAATTAAAAAAAAAATTATTAAATTTAAAATATTATTTAAATGTATAATTATATTGTAAAAGAAAATGACATAAATTATGTAAAACAGACAAAAATAAAAAATATGACAATTTATATGGACTGGGAGAGTACTAACTTAAAGATGTACAAAATTCAAATGTGATTTTATGAAAATATGTCAAATTCTCAATACTTCCAAAATTGCGTCAAATTTTCTTATTGTTTTATAAACTCTAAATTTAGCCCCCACTCAGCCGTCCTTATTTAATAATTTTACCCACAAGCACCCAAAATGCAAATTAATTTTAGAGTCTACATTTCTAGACCTCTAAAATTACAAGTATAACTGTTCATATTATATTTAGCCTTAAAAATAACAATAAAAAAAACTCTTAAAACCAAAGAAAATGAACTATTCCCGAGTATATTAAGGGTGTGTTCGTTTGTAAGATTTGTGCAAAATCTTACTATTCATTCAATTTTTCCCCCAAAAACATCAAATCAAACATTTTTTTTCATTTTTTATATTATACTAAAAATCAATTTTACATTCAAAACATCACATCAATACCTATTTATATGACATCGTACAACTATTCAAATTTAAAATTTTTACTATTCAAATCCCAACTCAAAATCCAAACCCCCAAACAAACACACCCTAATTGTTTTGAGGTTAAATATAAAAATACTATAGCCGTCTCACTTAATTTGTCAATTTTTTTCATATTCGTCGTCTCATATAAATGGTCTATTTTTTAAAATATAATTGGACACTTTAATCAAATTTTAAAATTTATAATATATAAATTTTTTTATTTTAGTTAAATTATTTTGTTATCTTAATAATTAATTTATAATTATTTTTATTAATATATATATTTTTAATTACTTACTAATTATATAATATCTAAAACTATATGCTCTAGCTAAAGTGGATAAATTAACTGTAATGAAGAGAGTAATTAGTATTTTT